GACTAAGATAGGGTACATTGAGTGACTGACCAGTGAGGTACGAACCAGAAGTGTGCTCTTTTGTATTGTTCATGCTTGAACATGAATTAACCACCACCAAACAATGGTGGGCAATTTTGTCTTTACTGACAAGGTTTTGAGAGGAGAAAATTGAGAAAGAGTCATGATACTAACATCAGATTGTAATCATCAATACCTTAAAGGGGGAATATGGAACACAAACACCAAAGCGACACCTAGTGTGTGGAGGTTGTAGTTGCTACAATAGAACAAGGTTTCCAGCCGTCGGGATGGCAAGTTTGCTTTGTGAAATGTTTTATTTGGGTCCATCTGTTGTAGGCTTCGCCTAAACCCACTCTGGTTTTAGATCTTTTATGGTCGCTCCTCTTCTGAGAAGGATAACGACATCTTCTGGGGTCAGAAGCAGCTCCTTGACTTGCCGAGTCCGTCATTTTCCGCAGTGCCAGCCTTGCTGTGCTGAGCGAACTGTTTGGCAACCCGCGATGGTGCCCCCTACTGGCTGGCAGATGTAAACGTAAACCCAGTGTTGTGCCCGTCAAAATAAATATTTGATTTTTTTTAATTAAAATGTAGCTTTTAAAGGAAATACTGTACCTTTATTCTTCACACCTCTAAACGTGCCGTGGAGGTATTAATTTAAAAAAAAGAAAAAAGAAACATTTTAAATAAATTGTTCCATATTCAACCCTGTCCAGAAACTTAATTCATACAGTTTTAAACTGAGTTTCATTACTAAACCAATACCTGCCAATGGCCTGCTCTTATGAAAGGACCTTAAGCTACAAACATTTGTTAAAGTCAAAACCTTGTTAATAGTAAATATTTAAACTTTCTTGATACTCATCAATGTGTTGAGAAGAAGCTTGTGACTGCGATACAAAAGGGGAGTTATGATGCCTAAAGTAGGTGTTATAACTACAAGACAAGGACAAGGTGTGGAAAAAGCAATAAAACTGAAAATAAAAACGAGTCTTCTGTCTCAGAAATGAACAGATAAGTTCAAGAGACCTTTTAATTCAGATTAAGAATAAATCAAACCTCTTTGTGCAGCAGAGGAGGTTAGCTTTTAAATGTACGTAAATGATCTGCAGGATCTTGATAACACAAGGATGTGTGACTCCAGAGTCTGACGCCTCCCTGTGTGTTCTCACCTTACACCAACAAAACCGATAATGATCTGAATAAAATGCCTGTTTCCACATAACCGAGTACACTTTAGAAAAACTTTATGATGTCTGATTAAATGGTGATGATGTATCTCAAAGGTAAAGAGAAGAGGACAATGACTGAATGACGCACGTCCTCAGTCTTTGTTATTAGCCTTTTCATCATCTCTGTATTTTCTTATCACCTCTTTATCTTCCCTCTTTTCAAACACCATCCAACTGTGAAGCTTGAGGTCCTCCAGGCTGGGCCTTTAGAGCACCATTTCCTCCTCAGCACTGATGATGCACAGGTCCTGGAGGGCCTTTCTAGCTGGACTGAAATGAAAGATTTCAGAGCTTATCAGCACCAAGGCAATCATCTTTACCCTTTAAATAAACCCTTGTCACCTCTGAATCACCAATAGAAGTTATATAAGACTGAAAATGTCGGGTTTTTGATGAAGGTACTAATCCTAATACTCCATCAGGGCCAGAAGTGGTTTTATACCAGTTTGTGATAATAGAGCCGTGAGGGGTGAACGTCAGGTAAATCTGATTTCTACAGACATCTGTGTGTTTACTGGTTTCCACTGGGAAACTGGAGTGTTTTCTCTGTCCCCTTTAGGGACAGCTGATATGAAAATCAGCAAACTCATCTACCTGTCAGCTTTCTTTAAACAATGTAACAATTTAAAGAGCAAAGTTAAAGCAATGAAGAAAATATAGAAAAAACCCTCTAAGGCCATAAGGCTTTTGAGTGGGTAAATCATTTCCATGTACTCCATCCCTTGTGTTGTACCATTGTCTTTTCTTTTTAGTCAGCATGCAATTCAGAGTCAAATAGTTGTAGCTTTCCAAGTGAAAATCACTCAACTTCCCTGGTGGTTTAGAGTCGGTGTTTTCATTTTTTTTGTAGCGACATGAATGGCCTCATTTGTGACCCAAATGTCACACTTCCTCAGCTGGGTCAAGCTGTACTAGCTGTACTTCTATTTACAGATTATCCACTACAGGAGACACAAAGTCTGCTGTAAACCATCAAATCTGACTGCCTTTTATCTGACTGCTGTTCCATCCGCAAGATGAAGGACACTTCAAGATTTAAAAGATTCATTTTTAATAAACTCTTTTCACTGTCTATTACAAGGTTCAGAAATAATCACCATAATTCATTATAAATGTATTTAATTACTGAAATGAATTATTATTCTTTGGTTAATAATAATTATGATTTATGATCATCAGTAATGTCTGATCAGTGACAATAAGGTCATGTGCACTTATACACACCATGCAGGACACAGACATCAGGTTAAAGGTAACTGCATTCACATGTCTTTGTTCCATAACCAAAGCTTTCTATCTCTGAGAGGGCATGTTCTGAGTTATGTTAAAACCTAAACTCCTCAGTTCAAGTTCAGTTCTTGAGCTCACTTAAATCTCTCCGTGGCACGAGAGTCCAGGGGATCGGGTCGGCTGCTCGAAACCTCTACTAAGCTGTTCTGTCACGCTGATAGAATTGCTCCAACAAGAAACGCCATCTGCAACAAGCTGACGCAAAACTCCTTCAGAGTTATTGATTTTTGAGACGCAACCAGTTTCATCAGTCGTTGTGACCCGGAGACATCTCAGGACCGATTTGGTCTCACTACGGTTCTTCTACCCACCTCGTGCTTGGAGGTCATCTCCTCCTGACATCTCGGATCCAAGAAGGGGGTCTCCTAACTGGGTGAGGTAGACACTTCCGACAGATTGCGTCCGTATGCCGTTTCTTTAAGAAATAACTTAGCTTAGCTGCAAAACAAATTCTTTCACCCAGAATGCGTTTTCTCTCTCTAAGATAAAAAACCTTCTGAGACTACATTCATTCATCCAAACACACACATTTCATTTTAATTTCATCCAGACACAGGTTGCTTTAATACCAAGTTTTAATATCAAAGCTTTTATAAATTGTCATTTTAAATTGTCGTCTTTAAATTGTTAGTAATAAATTCTTAACTTTTTAAACTTGACTCTTCTTTGAAATAAAACACAGAGTGGTGTATATTTGGTCACTGAACGAGCAAAAATCTCTTTAAATCTTCTGAATTAATAAACTTTTGCTATTAATTTAAATCTCTTAAATTAAATATTAATCTTTGGATTAAATATAGACCAAGCCGGTTGGTGTATGAACGTCTATCAATTATATAAATATCCATGGATATATTTATATATAATAAAAGTTTCATTTGCCAAGTCGTTTGATCTTTCTCAGAATCTAACAAAGCTGAATAGCACAGCGTTAAATTCTAGTTATGTAGATTAACTACGCTACATTGTCTTGTATTCTCTATCTGTCGAACAAATTGCAAGACGGACAAAGCACGTGGGTTTTCCCTCAGCATTTTTTTTATGTGTACAGTTTTCTATTTTTGCTGTCAAACTTGCATCTCCTCTTTTGGATGCAACTTGTTTTCCTAAGAAACCGCTGTTTAAGACTTTCCACCAGCAGCGTAAACGGCGGAGCTCCATGCCTTAAAATGTCACAAAATGTTAATGCACACTTACAATTAAGTCTCAGCGGTTAAACTAATAATTTACTAAGAGGTGTGTTGGTAATGGGCCGGTCCATAATGACTGATGGGCCAGTTCTATTGAATAGGGCCAAGGTAATTATTCCAGTAACTCCAATTGTAAAAGATTGAATAATCTAGAAAACAATGCATTCCCACAGATTTTGGTTTCATATTTGAAAAGCTTAATGCATGTTTGCAGTTTAGCAACAAGCATTCTGCACCTCCCCACCCCTAACCTTCAGCCAAATAGAGGTGGTTAAAGAGTAATTGCTGATTACGGATTATAGCACTAATCTGTGGTTAACTTTCTGCCAACTGGTGTAAATCATATCCACTGAGACTGCTTTGCAACATGTTATAAAACAGGAAGGAAATAACTCAAACTGCTTTATTTCACAACTAAATGGTTACAGTGATGGCTTTTTCTTAAGAGAATGCTTATTTTCTCATCAAAACCAAAGATACACCATAAAACAGAAATAGTTTGCTAATTTGTTTGCGAATGTGCAGACTGATCCTAAGTCAGTGATAACTGCTCCTCCATTGCTAGCATTTCTGTTAACGGTTGACACACTTTTTATTTTCTGTCAATGCTAGAAAATGAATTTCCATGAGTAACTTTCCATAGGGATTAAGTTATTTTTGAATCTGGATTTATTCCAGATTTGCAAACAAATATTTTTGTTCTGTTTTGAAGTGTTGAAGATGTAGGGAGAGAAAAAAACTATTTGCCGTACAAAAATAAATAGTTTACCATAAGAAGCTGTCCGACTCACTTTCTGATGTTTCTGTTTAATTTACTTAATAAAGGAGAAATTATGGTAAATGGCTTGTATCTGTATAGCAACTTCTTAGAGTTCTACAGCACCCCCAAGGTGCTTCACAACACAGTCATTCATGCAGCTGGGGATGAGCTACGATTGTGGCTACAGTTGGGCGCACTGACAGAGGGGAGGCCTGCTGAACACAGGCGCCACCGGTCCCTCCGACCACCAGCAGGCAAGGCAGGTTAAGTGTGCTGCCCAAGGACACAACTGCAGCATTCTCTGGCCAGACCCGGGATCAAACCTGCAACCTTCCGATTACTGGACGACCCGCTCTGCCTTCCGAGCTACTGCTGTCGGTCTTCTGCATCAGATTTCCAGAAGAATGACTGAGGATTCAGAATTTTTTCCCTTTTTTCTGCAAATATCCAAGAAAAAATTAATACATAAGTTGATCAACTACAAACAGTTTAAAGATAAATTGATGTAAGAACAACTAAACAAACATGTAGTAAACAACAAAGTACTTTAATCTGCTTCATTTACATTGTACTCACTTATATAACTCCAATGAGTGAAAATAAAATAAAATCTTAATGAATAATAAATACCCACTACAGAACTCAGCAGTTTCAGCACACAAACGCCTCTGGATCTTCTGTCCAATAATCACGTTTGTTTCAAACAAAAAGGAAAAGAACAGACAGCAGAGCTGATGAAATGAACTCTGGAGATGATACAGAAAAGAAATAGAAAACATTTCTTCCAACATCAGAACCAGCGCTTAGAAAGACAAACAGCTGGGCTTCACTTTTCCATCAAATGAAATGTTTGAAACCTGAAAAAAGTCACATTCATGTTCAAGTTGAACTCTTAATTTTCTCAGCAATAATTTAGCATTTCTTACCCCAACACACAGCTTCAGTTTTAATGACCAGATATTAGACTTTATAAAATAAATACAATACTCTGTTCTGATAAAGATGGAGCAGATTCAAGTTTCACCACCATGTAATCTTTTAAACATACAAACACCTTCTGCTGACGCATTAAATACATGATTCAAGTATTCACTGGGCAGCAGGACACCAAACATCCCCTCTCACACCAAACACAAGAGTTTAAACCAGAATTAAAGAAGTTTTTCCTCAAACGTCAAAGTGAAATAACAGGAAATAATGTTCAATCCCAAGTTTTTGGAAAATATTAGAAACCGAAAAGGAATAAATAGGTCTATACTGAAGGAGGAAGTGCAAAAATAACAGAAAACAAATCTTTAGAAAATCATTCAAAGTATCCTAATTACTTGTTTCTCCCAACTGAAAACCAATAACGCGATTCTGTTTGTGGAAATTCAAACCGTTCAGCAGAAAATGGTTTTTATTCAATGATTTACAAAATTAACCAACTAATCTGCTCGATTTAAAATTTCACTGGAATTGTCCTGCTTTCAGACTAGAACAGAGCTTTTGTATAGTCACTTATTCATTTGTGCTCTTGGTGACTGGGGCACAGCTCGTCATAGTGAGAGCACAGCAGGCCTCCTGACTCCCACAGCTGGAACATGTCTGTCATGTCTGCAGTGCTGGAGCCAGCGTGAGGAGGCTGGGACGTGTCGAGCTGATCAGCTGGGTGTGTCGGCTCCGAGGTGACTGCAGCATTAAATCATCCAGCCAGGCCAAGTTCATTCAAGTCCAACATCTGTGTCACATCTTAACTCACCGACCAAGTCCAGCCTCAGAGGGGTTTCCTGTCAGAGAGCACCACAAAGATCACACCAAAAGACTTAAAGATCAATGAAAACATCAGAGAAACCCAAAGAGACCACCATTCATCAGGTCAGCTTCAAAACCTGCTAAACGGACTGAAACTCTGAGTTTGTGGGGTTTAGAATTAGCAAAGTCGTCTTTTTTCCTGGGAAACCAACGGATACTGTCAGATACATCCCGGTTTTGTTTTTTTACTTCCTTAAGAGGAAACATCTGGTGATCACATAACTGATAAAGTCACTTTGCTGCAGAAGTTTAAACAATAGCTAGCTCAGGAACAAAAAGCTGTACTAGACCCCATTTAGTTATTTTATTGCTGTGCGGGTGTGGTTTGGCCTCATTTAAACTAAATAAAGATCTAAATAATTTGAGTAAAAATAAAAAATTGACGTGTAGCTCCATCGCTGTTATTTACTTATAAAAAAAAAAAAAAGATTTTCACGTGGATGTGAAAGCTGTGAGTGTCCTTGTGTAAGAACAACATCTGCTCTGTGTCTAAGTGAGCTCCACCTGCCTGGACCAACGTCAGCCTCAGATCCAGACGGTGGCTGAACGATGAGTGGGACCCGAGACTCTTTGAGGGAGAAGCTCTGCAGGGTGAGAGACCTGGAAGGCCAAAGCTCTTCTCTCCACCACCACAAAGCCGTTCCCACCAGCAGCACCGCAAGGAACACTGAGAAACACACAAACAACCTGGATCACTCTTTGCAGGCCTGGCAGCCTCAGGAAGATGATGTAAACTTCACATATGATGATGTCATCCACCTCCTCTGAGCTGCAAAGCTTAGGAGAAATGACAAACTCATCTGTGAGGATTTCAAAAACATAGTTATAACTTTCCAAGTGATTTCCTCTCACACGGACAGGTTGGAACTTTCAGAAACAGGAAAACTCCGGTGTGCTTTACTCAAATATTTCATTCTAACACAAGGATGTAAATGAATTTAATTCTAACACAAGGAAGTAAATAAATTTAATTCTAACACAAGGAAGTAAATGAATTTAATTCTAACACAAGGAAGTAAATGAAACGTTCTTACTGATCAAAGAGAGATATCCGGCAAATGTGGCATCGGGTAACGTTTTTGCTGGAGCTGTGCTGAAGATCCCTGGAACCTGGGAATTTTCTTTAGTTCCTGGGGAACCGCAGCTGAAGCGGAGCCCATCAGGATGCAGGTCGACAACACACCCGTGCTGACACGTCATCCCAGGACGCCCACACACAGACGGGCCTTAAGATAAAGCAGAAGGTTTGGTTCACATTAATGACCGACCTCAAACCTGCAGTTCAACCCTCAGCAGAAAAATTATGAAGGATTTAGATTTAAAGACAGAAATGGGGAGTGGTGGTACCGTGTGGTTGAAGCACAGGGTGGAGGAGGGCCACACCACCAGGTGAGGTGACATTAGACATCAGCACCTGGAGGTTACTGCCGCTGTGCTTGTTGGCTCGGCAGATGGAGCCGGTCACCTCGTCACCCCAGTACAGGAATCCCTGATGAAAACACGCGAGATCAGATGGGCGATGTTTATTTCACAAATCAGTCCCAGACTCCCTGTAGTACCTCGAACACAGCAAGTCCAAACAGCCGGTCCAGATAGCCGTTAGACTCGACCACCGTTTTACGATGGCGACCATCTAAAGATATTCTGGAAATGCTTCTCATTCCCTGGTCAAACCAGTACAGCAGCTGCCGAGTCATGTCTGCAGGGAAACAGAGAAACAGCTGCGTGGCTCGCTCAGATGTGTGAACTCGAAACTCAAATCAAATTCCATTTCACGGCTGGAAAAAAAAAAAAATTCCAGTTCCCTTTTCTACAAGAAAAGACAGAATTCTCAGTTCTCCCTCGGACTTCCCTTTCACGTTATGCACAATACATACAGAACATCTAAAAGAGCTGGTAAATTTGCCTGTTTCTAAACTCCCATCTCCATGTTGAAAGTGTTTCAGCCTACCCAGAGTGAGCGCGACTGGCTGCTGAATTAACGACGTGACCACATCCGCCCTGCTGCTGCCGTCTAAGCTGGACTTCTCAACCTTTGGACTTCCGCCACACTGCGCCCAAAACAGGAGCCTGAACAAAATGAACACATCTAAGTTTGATGTTTTTCTTTTTTACTTTTATTTGAAACGGTTTACAGTTCCTACATTTATTTTTCCAAACTGTGGCACAGACGCAAAAAAGAACTTTCGCTGAAAATGTTTCGGTTTGTCTTCCTACCCTCGAAGAGGATCCACAGCCACAGCAGACGGGTCGTAGAGTCCAGTGATGAGTTGAACCTGAGATGATCCGTCTAGCAGAGCCACGTTAACAGAACCCTCCTCTGGACTGGTCCAGTACAGAAGTTGGTGGATCCAGTCTATGGCGAGCCCCGACACCAAGCCTTGGACTCTTACCACCAGAATGGCTTCATGTGGCTTTTTGTTCACAGAAATCCTGAAAAAGATCCAAAACATTTTTTGTAACCAATGACTACAAGTATAGTGTAAACCGATTTCAGGGGCTGCATTCCACTTCTGCAGCTGCTGGCTGTAGTAAATGGAATGCAGCCTTCCATGACACTAGTCCGTTTTCCACTTACAGAATTTAAATTGTCAGTGAAATAGGTCTGTAGTTAAAGAACAAGTTCACTGAGTAACGCAAGCTGAATGTGAAAACTGTTTTCTAACCCAGTTTCATGCATTAGTCGCCGATGGAAAACGGACGGGGATTAGAAGTCAGTCAAATCTGCGTCACACTGAAAATTAGCCTTCATGGATTCACCTATCTTGACTCACGGCGGGGAAGGCTGTTGTTGCTTTTGTGTCCAGGAGAGAGCAGTTAGCTAGTAGAAGCTAACTGTTAGCATTAGCAACACCACATCATGGCAGAACTCCTTCAGGCTTGTTATTTATGGAGATAAAACATATTGAAAAGCAATGGTAGAGTCGCATTGCTGTTATCCAATCAGAGGTGAGATGTTCAAATATCAAGAAGTTAAATCCTGCCGTCTTCTACCCCACTCGCCACCTGTTGAGCCTGGAAGGTCAGAGGTCACTAGAAGCAAGTTTCAGCTAGGAAATCAGAGATAACAGAGAACCAAGTGTGTTCCACAGGAGCCAACATCCTGCAGATGGGTTGTGTGTAACCTACTGAAATTTTGAGCGTTTAGTACTCTCTGAGCCCCCATCCGGCTATCTGAGCTTCCCAGCTTATAGGATGGGTGGGTGTGGCCATGAGGGGGATATTGTATAGCCCTTAGAACTATTGTAACTTAAAACAGTCAATCTGTTCCCTTTAAATACAGTTTGAAGAGTACTTCCCTCAACCTTGTTAATTCTTAGTACTTCTGATTTTCTCCTGTTTTCTTCATGTTTTTATTGATTTTAGTATTTTTTTAAATTTGTCCAGCACGTTGGGCTTCCTTAAAAAAGGTGCTTTACTGTAGCGTCACACTCTTATGGCACAACGACTGCATATTTAATTATGACCAATAAGGTGTGATGACTCCATATAAATTTGAAATAGCAACCTGATTGATCTTTGAATGTTTAACCAGAAGAGTTTATGATTCTTTGCTTGTTCAGGGACCATAAACACACTTCGTATTAATTCAGGCAGAGTCAAGTATATAGTTAAAAGGAATTTTTTTCTTTCCTAAACTAATTATAATACATTACAAGCTATGAATAATGATGTGATGGAGTGTATATGCAGTGATGCAATGTGAGTTGTAGGTGGTGTGGTGTAAAGTAGATGTGTATCAGAACCTTTGTATCTGAAAGAGATTGTGAATTCTGGATGTAAAAGAATTTGTTGTCTGCTATAAACTAGAGAGTTGTTTATTAATAAAACAACATCAGACGCAATCTGTTATGTCTACAAACCCTGATCGGAGACCCCCCGGTCAGATCCAGAATGTCAGGAAGTCGTGTGGACCTCAAGGCACCGAAGTTCATAGATTAACCGCGGTGCGACCAGTCCGCTCTAGAGTTGTCTCCAGGTCACAACAGGCATGAAGGTTTGTTGCGTGTAAGACAGATGTTCTCTTAAAGAGCCGTATGGCTGTGTCAGCTGGCAGTGTGCCAACAGGTTTGACTGTGTGTCAGAGAGAGGGGTGTCTCAAGGAGGCTGGTTCCGAATTGGCCACTTCGGCGTTCCGCTCGAAATTTAGTAACTCGGGAAGTCACTCTAGTTATAATAATCTAGAGTTTATGATTTCTGGCGAATCATAATATGACATGTTTGTAGGCTTTACCAAACATCCCTCAGAAAACCGCACCTTCCAGATACAAGCTGTTCTCTTTCTGTGGATAAAGAATCTTTAAACTTTATTTAACTTAATAAACCTTAATTTGCATCTAATGAACATTGTGTATGAGTGTAGATAATGATTAACTTGTTAAATCAAACAGTACTGATCATAAGATAAATGGATCATTGTAAGACAACAATCATTTCAACTTCACTGAATTAGGCACAGATTATTCAAACATTTCATATAACATCTGGTTCATTCAATTGTATGATTATTTAACTTATGAGTTGTAAAAGTTCACGTTTTATTCAGAGTGTGGAATCCAGCAGTCTGAGATAAGAGGACAGCCTTTGTTTGGAGAACTAGTTTGACAATTTTGTCTTCATGGACTGTCAACAAGCACTACAGAACCTTCTGGGTGTTAGAAGATAGAATAGAAAATCCACCTAGATAGTGGACCTATTTCTGTAGATGACCGGTCACTATGTAGGTCAAAAATGACCCTTTCTGGATGTTACACTTACAAATCCAGTGAACAAATGAATGCAAGTAAATGGATTATAAACCTGAGTTTTTGCCAGTTCCATCTGGTGGTGGCCATAAAACTACTTTTCTAATATGATGACAAAAAGATAAAGCTCTAAAGTAAAGTTAAGATCTACAGTTAAGCGCCTCGTGACTTTTATCTTGAGAGGTGCTATAGAAATGATATTTTCTTTCTTCTTCTAAACATCACAATGACAAAAGAAAGACCAGAAGCTGTGGAGAACGGCCAACATCAGATTACTAATCTACTGGACAGTGGCTGGTGTCACCTGACTCTGTTACTCAGTAAACTCAAAGCAAACACTTACGGGAAACTGCATCTACATGTGTGTTCAGGTACGAATCCGCGACGACCGCCGAGCAGCCTTAATCAACATTTACTTTTCACACACCGTGATGGTCATACCTACTAGACGGCTGCTTATCTGATCAGAAGTCAGTCACTTTTAAAAGACTGTGCCAAAAAGAGAATGCTGATGTTTTCTCATCATCTACGAGGAAATTACATCCACAGTAAATCGTGGCTTATTATTCATGAAACGTCAACATCAGGAATATTATCATTCTGCTCCGATGATTTCCACATATCCATCCTGTTTGTCTGCAAACTCCTTCTGTATTTGATTTCAGAAACAGGATTCTGCATTTTTTTCAATGTCACGTGCATCATACCCAGTTTAAAGAGACTATTTCAGCAATTAATTGCTAAAGCTCATAAAGAAACATTTAAAATTCATTTAGCATAAACTCTGTTTACCTAAGACTCTAAATAAGAATCTCCTAAAGAGGTTAAATAGTACATCTTACCTGGAAATGTTTCAGGATGCCACTGAACAAACGTAGGAAAACAGACATCCTTGACAGCTCATCCTGCCAGAACAGCGCGGCCCACCAGATAAATGATGGAAAGTGGTGCGTGCGTGTGTGTGTGTGTGTGTGTGTGTGTGTGTGTGTGTTCGGGGGAGGGAGCCTCCGTTTACATTTACACGTTTATCAGGGTCTTCAGCAGAAACAGAGATGGTGTGCTACCTGTATATGGAGCCTTGTTCTCGCTGGGCCCAGTATAAGGTGAGATTAGAGGCGACGACGGCTACGGGACCTGGGCCAGGTAAATACGCTGCCAGGGATTTAGATTCAGCATTCCTTAGCTGGATCCCTTTGGAGGAGGTAAAAACCAGCTGAGCTTCTTCACCTGGCATGAAGAAAAATTGTTTCAGGTTAGTCAGCTTCAAAAAGCGATAAAGATGATGTACCTAAAAAGGCACATAAATAAAATAAACCTGCATAGTTCAAGTTCTGGAGTCGGTACAAGCAACCAATCATAAAGTTAAAAAATACACAAATATGTTCGGTGTCAAACAACTGTTGGTATTTAACAGTTTAAACATTAAAAAAACTTAAATGTTCCAGATATCTGACCATCTGCTGCAGAAATAGACACGGTTCCCACATTTGGAGCTCTAACGATGGCATAAAATATTTCCCACAGAATTCCTGGGCCACGGACTCCATTTCCAAGTCCAATAATCATACTGATGGGAGGAGTCGCAGCCATCACCACAAAACTAAGGCAAAGAAAAGGAGCGAGTGACCTTTACTGGTTTTTTCTACTGTGACTTCCTGCAGCACAGCAGAGCCTCTACATTCACCATCAGCTGGAAACAGCAGCTTTTCCTGTTACGATCACCCATTAGCTGTTTTTACAGGACCATAGCGTTTGCAAAACGGGATTTGCCGCAGCTCCCTGGGGAGGATAAAGGTCGTTTACAAGATTGGGCCATGGCGGTAATGTGGCGCAATCGTGGCAATTTTATAAAGGATTAGGTGATGGTGGCATAAAGGGGGTATGGGGGCGGTCTCTGCGCTGCCGCAGACTTCCGTTTATCTTGGACATAACTTGCTTTTTATTGCGATTGAAGCTGTGATCGTTAAGTCTTTTTAACAAGCAGCTCCTAAAGGTGTCTGTCCCCATCAGTCCCTGTGCAGTCTCTGGTGATCGGAGCTTCAGCTCTAACAGAGAGGCTCGTGGAGCGCTGTGGCGCTCCAGTTTGCCATCTCAGCAGATTTTGTTCAAAAAGCAAACCTTATTGCCTGTGTTTACTTTCATTTTCAATAAATTTGCCAGCCGGAGCTCAGCAATAACTCCCCACGTCATCATGACATCTGCCTCTGTTGCGCCAGGGCGGATATGGCAGACCATTACCGCAATATTACTACCAAGCAAGGTGGAACAAATGCCGCTAAATTCGCGCAACGCCATGCTGGGCCCAGTATAAGGTGAGATGCTGGCATGGTGTTTATAGACATACCATTGCGGTAATATTACGTCGATTTGCCGGCATGGCCCGTCTTATAAAAGAGGCTATAGTTGCTTAGATAAGGAATCGGACTAACGAGAGCGGGACCCAAGAGAAAAAATAACATCCAGAATTTATTCTGAATGTGGGTTTGATCAACATGTAAAGGGGAAATATTAAGAGGAAACTAGACTCATCTCTGAAACCTGAACCTGTAGAGGACCAGCAGCTTACCATTGGCTCTGCACTCTCCACTTGACGCATTCATGTGATAACCCTCATGACATTTACAGGTGAGGCTGTTGTTTATGTCAACACACAGCTGATCACACACATCACTCTCCAGGCATGAGTCCACTTCTGCAACAACAAAGCATGTTTTAGGGTGTGTGTTATAAAGTTGTGAAACAATGCTGGGAAACGTCCCTCACCCTCACACCGACTGTCCCCAACCAGCTTCATGTTGGCCGGACAGCTGCAGAGGAACCCCACCGACTGGTCCAGACAGTAATGAGAACAGCCGCCATTATTTACCCGACACTCGTCCTGATCGCCAATATCTGAAGTCAATCAAAATCAAACATAAGATTTAAATACAGTTGACAAATTCTTAAAGGTCTGGGAAACTCATTTAATAAGTATTTGCAGTAGTCTCTGGTAGGAACGCATGCCATGCAAGCTGTACTCTGAGCACAAAAAGCCCAAAAGCGCCTGGATCAACACAGACTAGTCTGCTGCAGCAGAAAGTGGCACAGCACAGCAGGAGTTGGAGTATTTCCTGATATTCGGACGTCTCGCCTCCGATTGGAAGACAGCAACATGACTCTACCACTGACTTACAACGTGGACGTTTTACCTCACAAATAACATTAGTCGGAAGGAGTTCTGCTATGTGGTGGAGTTGCCAATGCTAACAGTTAGCTTCCACTAGCCCTGATGTTCTCTTCTGTTTCCTGGACGCTAAACCATCAACAGCCTTCCTCGTCTTGAGTCAAGATGGGTGAGTCCATGAGAGTCCATGAGTGTTAAGTGACAGTGTGACGTAGATCTGTCAGGCTTTTCTAATCCTGGAGTTTCATCGTCTATTTTCTATCAGAAGCTAATGCACTATATTTATGTTCTGCCTGAAAGACTAAGAGCTGCCGATTAGAATCAGAAGTAATCATTAAAAAAGGGTTTTAAGAGTTCCACACGTTTAATCGTTTTCCGCTGCATTAAGAGTCAGCTCAAGCTGCAACCATCGTATAAACTAATCAACCATAAAACCTGCAGGAACTGGTCAGAGCTCTAAGTCCAGTAGATCCTGTCAGCCTAAACTGCTTTACATGATATAATCCACATGCTATCTATTTAAAATTAAGTAGTTAAAAAGAAGACACACACACACACACACACACACACACACACACACACACACAATAAACAGTATTAAGGCCATTCTGAATCCCCTTTACTGGTATTTCACCATTTATTTCATTTTTACTGCCTTTTGAACACGAAAAATATTCACTGATGACTGAAGATAGGCCAGTTTAAAACTATTTTAGCATATTTCAAAAGACAATTAAAACCATGTTTACATATTGATAACATCCTAAAAGGGAAATACAGATATACCACTAATGAAAGGAAGTACACTAAATTTGATTATCAACTCTGGGATCTTTATATTGCACTGAAGCGAAATAAACGAGCTAAACGAGAGCCGCCTCTTTATGCATCTTTCTGATGCTAAACGCTAACATTTAAATATAAACCAGGTGTCAGGAACCTGAGGGCCTGGACCCACATGTAGCTCTTCAGCGCCTCCAAGAGGCCAATTGGACTTGAGCTATTTATTTTTAAACTAAATAAACAAGAATAAAAAGTTTTAGTCATTACATTTTCCAAACAAACATTTTTGCAAAACGTGCATGGAATTTTTGCACAAAACAATAAATAAATAAATAAATAGAAAAATGTTGGACAGCTCGTGTGAACTTGAGTTTCTAACAAAAAGGAGACAAATGATCATTAAAGCTCTGTGTGCAAAGCTCCTCATCACTTCACAACCAGAGTTTAAACAATTTAAGCAAATGTTTAAAATGTAGTCAACAGTTTTACTGTTTAGCTCATAGTTTGTTTTGCGTCGCCCGACTTTGAACAGAAATTGTTCTGCATTACATTTTTCTAATAATACAACATGAGGTGTAGAAACAAGGAAGCCTCATGCCGCATGTAGATTTTAAATGTCAGTAGAACTATGTAGCTCTATGCAAATCATATTTCATCTCCTCACCACATTTTATTTGTATAGCACCTTCCACTGCCTTTACGGAAGCCCAAGGTTCTGAACATGACATAAAAATAAAAGAGCAGAGAACAAGAAAACACATAAAAGCAGCATGTAAAAATGACTAAAATGATAAAACAGACGGTAAAAGACTAAAAACTATTTTACATAAAAGCCAAACAATAAAAATTAGTCTTCAAGCAACCCTCGAAGACCTGCAGTGATGGTGACTCTTTGATAAGTGGGAGCTGGTTCCAGAGTAGGAAAAACTATTTTAGTATAGTTCAAAATCATATCTATATCATAGATAGATATGGATAGACATATAGATTTATAGATATGAAGCTCTTTTAACAGATTAAAAACTACTTGAGCGCCCTCTGCTGGATGCAAATATTTCTAAATACATATTTCAGAGAGCATGTTTAAAATAGAAAAGTTAATTTTACATTTGCAAAGTTTAAACCTTTGATTTCATAAACTATCAGTAATCTCAAACAACACAAGATGATTCTTAAATCAGACAAACCTGGGTTTTAAAATTGGAAATGACTTGTATTTGTAGGGTTCTACAACCCCCCAAAGCGCTTCACAACACACGCCGGTGGGGATGAGCTACCATGTAGCCACAGCTGTCCTGGGTGCATTGACAGAGGCGAGGCTGCCATATACTGGTGCCACTGGTCCCTCCGACCACCACCAGCAGGTAATTGTTATTGCTATTTACACTATTTATTTATGTCTCAACATAAATCTGAGATTTGACTAAACCTGCACAAACCCAGATCCATGTCATCCTCTGATCTGGCCTGCAGAGTTTAACATGTTTATCATAAATGTGCAACAGGACCCAGTTTCCATAAATAAGTTTCTTTAGAACAAAAGTTTGGAAACTGCAGCTGCATCACGTCACATCACTCACCACAGTCGTCTTCATCGCTGCCATCAGAGCAGTCCGGAGAGTGGTCACACCTCCACGCGTGACGGATGCACTCTCCATCTCTGCACCGAAACTCCGATGCTGCGCATGAGGTGGGCGAGCTCTGAGGCCTGGGCTGGACAGAACCACACAGCTTCCGGGTCTCATCCCGTCCGTCTTTGCAGTCATTCCGTCCGTCACAGAGCTGGCTTCTAGGCAGACAGACATCAGACATCCCGCAGGAGAACGAACCAGTGGCGCATTTGGGACAGGAATCCTCATCACTCCCATCGCCACAATCATCAACGCCGTCGCATAAGGAGTTGATGGAGATGCACCGTCGGCTGTAGCAGGAGAACTCGTCTGTCTTACACCCCGCGTGTCCTGTAGAGAGACAGGTTATGAACGTGGAGGACGAAAGACTCTGAAGGCTCACTGACTGTTGATAAAATCTGGTGAGTGAGTGTTTGTATTTAAGCTGAAAACAGAAAAGATTTTTATTTGACAATTTAAATTAAACAATTAAACGCCACATCCCTTCATTTGAATGCAATTAAAGTTAAAGTCCCATTAGTTGTCACACACACAGGTGTGTGTGTGCGAAATTTGTTCTCTGCATTTGACCCATCCCCTGGGGGAGCGGTGAGCTGCAGACACAGCTGCGCTAGGGAACTATTTGGTGGTTTAACCCCCCAATCCAGCCCTTAATGCTGAGTGTCAAGCAGGGAGGCATTGGTTCCCATTTTTTCAAAGTCTTTGGTATGACCCGACCAGGAATCGAACCCCTGATCTCCCAGTCTCAGGGCGGACACTCTACCACTAGGCCACTGAGAAAGGTGCCGTTCCCTGCAGTTCTTCACTGGAAAAACAAATATTACTCATTAGTTGTATTAAAAAGTTTGTTCTGCTTTACAAATTAAAGTAACAACAACCCTGATAGAGAGAATATCAGATTAAACATGATATAAAGTCTGTTTTTCTAGATCTCTATCAACAGATCAGGTTTCAGGGAACACCGCAGTAGAATTTCATGCAGTAAATTTGTAAAATAGGTAGAATGATACACCTTCACCGTTTTGTTTATTTTCTTGCCGATAATTCCTTTGTGGCTCTAAAACATTGCATTCCGACCTGCTGTTGGATTTCTGCACGTCAGAAGTGTTAATGTTTAACGCTCGAAAGAACATCAAGTCCACTCGGCTCGGCTAATCCCACTCCTGCAGAGCCCTTCTTGGAAGTTCAAGCTGAAGATTAAATCCCCCAGGAATCTGATATCAAAAGCTTGGATGACCTCAGCAGGATTTGAAATAAATATCACACAAAGTTGGAGTATTTTTCTTTCACACAGAGATCATCATGTGATGTGATATGAGTCCGATGTTTGGATTATTACATTTATGCCAAATAAATAATCTATGTGGCCAGCAGGACTCCATCGTGATCAGATCTGATAAGATCCTGCTGGACTTTGGTGCTGCTGTTAGAACAAAACAAAAAAAGATCTGAACTGCTCATCTAGTACAACTGACAGAGTTATTCTAATGATTCATGCAATTATTTAATCTATATTGTAATGTTTGGTGAATAAATAGCCTCTTATTATTGACCGTTTATGAATGAATCAGTAAAACTATAGAAAACGAACATAAATCACAGCGGTTAGAGCAGACTGGACTCAAACTGGTTTGGACTGGTAACTCACTGCAGTGTCGCTCATCTGATCCATCTCCACAATCTGCATGGCCATCACACACCTTCAGCTTAGAGACACACACACCGTCTCCACACCTGAACTCCAGCTGTTTGTGACAGGCAGGTAAAGAGTGACCCGCAGCACCTCAAACACACAAACACACACACCGTTTTACTGTTACGGAGCCAAACAAGACCTTAAATGCCAGGTTACACATGAGATTTAGTAGTGATTCAATTATCATCAGTAGTTCAAATCAACTATTAGAAAGAAAAGATGATGTTTTATAGAGTCATCAGTAAAAAGTGTTATTTATTTCAAACTTTTAAACAATTTAAAAATTCCCATTTTGGTTGCTATACAATTAGCTTCTTGACAGCTGGTAGATCTGAATGTTCTGAGACTTAAATTTAAATAATTCAAATGCATAAAGCAGCCCAGGTCAGTACAGTGCTGCAGATGCCTTTTTACAACACACGGAGGAGGCATGATGTGGAGCTGCATGTTTAAATATCACTGAAACACCCAGCAAGGAAAACTACAGTCAGGTTTTAAAATATGATAACCCTAGCATGCAAAAAATGCAACAAACATTCACCTGTATAAAAACACATGACATGACACATCAGTCATACTAAACCCAAACATGACTGAACCACGTTGGGGGGAAAAAACTAACGGGCCAAGAAATAGACAAAACGCTCAACGAATAACTAATAGCCATATACGGTGAAGGTGAAAAATAAAGGCGATGCCGTGTTAAAAGATTCTAGGGCAGTTCGGTTTGTCGTGCACCAGCTGCTGACAGACGAGGCGTATGCAGGAGGGCTGAGCGCTTCAGTCAGTCAGAACAGGAACAAAAGACCGAAAACAACAACTACAATGTTCACACGCAGCTGGACCTCCAGCCTCTCACCCCAGATGTGACTCCAAAAGAGCGGCGCGATGAGGAGAAATAAACCGCCAAGGTGCCCCATGCTTCTCGGCGAGTCCTGGCTGGCAGCAACGAGGCGCAGGGCGCGGAAATATGACGTAACACCGCTGCTGTCAAACAACCACATGGCTGAAACGTCTTGTGTTTACAGCTTCACGATGGAGCATAATGCGTATTATTTGTTAGCTATTCGTTTAATTTATACACCTGCTGTTAGTAGATTTTAAGTGACGTCATAACTGTTCACAGTTTGATGAAAATAACCTTAATCAAGGATGAACGTATGTATCCTGATCTAATGCTGTGGCCTTCGAAGTTCGATTAAAATGTAAATTATGTTTGTGGCAAATACTCCCATTTGGACAAATTGTATCCCAACGTTCCTTAAACGACACTGAACCTGACCAGGTGTTTATAATGGTCTTTAATTAGACTTCCCATGATCCTAGGATGATCTGTCACCAATCTAATGTGTGTGTGTGTGTGTGTGTGTGTGTGTGTGTGTGTGTGTGTGTGTGTGTGTGTGTGTGTGTGATTTTAAAGTTAAACTGCTGTTTTATTTCTTGACAAGGTAAATTTTCCCTCTTGATGAATAAAACTTGCAAACTGAGAACTTCTTATAAGGATGTAGACAATAGTTTGCTTTTTCAAAAGTAAACAAATGGACCTCTGCTGTTTATGTGGTTTGATCAGTTGCTGTATTGATGCAATAATGCACCCATTCATTATTGCATTTGCAGCATATCCATAGACTGTACATACATACATACATCCATTCATGCTTCACATTCCCTGTAAATACTCAGCAATCGTTCTAAATCCACACAGTATTCTGGGTTTAATTTTTTTAAATGTACATATATATTTCTGCATATCTGCTGGCAAACACATTTCCCCACGAAATGACAACAGAGATTTTCTATTCTATTAAATAAACCATTGCAAAAATAAAAAAATTCTCATATTTTGTCACCCAAATCCTAAACTAGTCACATTATCACATAAAAGCACTTGTTTGACTAAACCGTGATATTATTTGAGTGTTATTAACGTTAAATTTTTATGTTGTGTAAAGGGTTATTTAATGAGCCATAAGACATAAGATTCCATAGTGAATATCAAATCAATCTTATGGATCTTTGGGTAATTTTAACCAGAAGATTGGAACTTTTTATTGCAGGGATTATGTAACACTTCGTATTAACTGAGAGACAAAAGAAGAGAGAGTCACCTTTAAAATTTAAGAAGATTTATTTGTAAATTTTTTTTAAACAAGATTAACTCTAAACTCTAAGTGAATGGATGGATCTTGGTGTGAATGAGACGTGAGGTGAATGGTGTATGTGTGTGAGTGATTTTTGTCATCAGAATTCTCATATCCGGAGAAGCAAGTCTGAATGATGTTGCGATGTTTTGCTCTTAAGCTATGATCGGAGTTCCATAAACACATAAGACGCCATTTTGTCGCTCCACACATACCCTTCAGGATGAGACCTCCGTACAGATCCAGAATGCCAGGTCCTCGGACCCCCCTTCGGTACCGGACCCGATGAAACAGCGTCAGCAGTACGACAGACTAGTCTTTGGATTGTCTCCAGGTAAAAAGCAACAGTTGGTTGACAGCGTCAGATGGACCTGGAGGGTCAGTGAGTTCAGCTTTAAGGAACCGTTGCTTGGTTGGTAAAATGCAATAGATTTTATCCAGCTTGTTGGTTCTTTGCTTAAAAAGGAAGTCCATGTGGCCGGTCCGATACTTCTCTTAGCATGCGGTGAACTGCAGTGAACTGAACTAAGATTGCGTGGGGACTGGTTTTATTAATCTGGATGTTTTGATTTATGGACAAATCAAAGTTGGCAGATTTAAAAACACAACAGAGATTATGCCACGCTTCAGAAAGGAAGGTTCCGATTGGATGAGTAAAAGCAATGTGTCATGCATTTACATTACGTGTGATCAGGGTGTCTAGTGCAGCTAGATTAAAGTCATATTACTCATTAAACTTACTAATCATAAGATTGTCATTTCACAAATTGGTCAACATCTTATTATTGACTAACACTTTGTTTGATTAGCTTTATTAAAAATAGAGTTCTTTGATTTATTAAAAAGAAAGAGTCAATTGTCTTCATTCTTCTCTTGGGCTGGAAAGGAAGCAGTTTAGAAGCAAATGCAAACCTTGAGACAGTCTCATGCAGATTAGTACTGTGTCAGAGACATCTGAGGAGAGAGGGTAAATAACCTTCGGTGGAATAACTCCTTCATCACGTTACAGTTGTTTTAACAAAACAGGTGGTTATATTGATTTAATTTCATATATTGACAAAATATGCAACAGTTGTCAAACAGAAACCAAAAATCAGTCAGATAAGTGACTACTCTGCTTCTGCATGCCTGCTGAATAAAGTACTTGAAATACTTTCTTTTACATTTATGTGTGGTGTACTGTCTAATCACGTCTGTTTGTTATGGTTATGTACACGTTTAGTAATTTATAGTCATTTTTGGACAAGTTTGAAGTATGTAGATGATAAAATGCGAGACTAAATCGAGTCCTACTGTGTGTGCATACTTGGTCAAATAATCCTGATTCTGATGTATTTTACCACCTAGATTTAAAAGGACATATTAAAAAAAAGCTTTTTTATTTTCATTTATCTGTGCTGTTCTAACACAAGTGCAGCATACTGTGATTATTGTAATGTCACAAAAACTAGGCCAGCGGTCTAAAACATGAAAAATGTATTTTGCATTACTACAACAAACATAACCAGAGAGCAAAATCTTTTCTGATCAATGACAAGTTTATGCTTCTTATGCTCCTGTAGCCTGACACCTCAATCTGCAGGCTGGTGCTGCAGGCCTTGAGCACCTGAGCAACAAGGCTTGCTATTGTGAGGTTTAGCAGTGATCACACGACTGTGTCACTGTTGGTTTGGTGCTTTTAAATAGGTTCCCCCCCCTCAAATTCAAAACTTTGTGTTCAGTCTCAGTTTTGTGTGCGGCACGAGCCATGCAGGCCATGATTGATGAGAACTCAATGGGACATTTTGGACTGTTGGGGAAACCGAATCTGGAGTTTTGCAGAACTGCTGCAGCTAGTCCGCTAACTGAATTTTCACTGGCTTGTGGTCAGTCCTGCTAGCCTGGTTGTGGTCAATTTATGTGGCCGTGGCTCACTGAACTCTGCTGCAATGACTTGACAACAGCTACAGTTAGAACAGGCACATATTTACTTATTTTGCGAAAGACAAATGAGTGAAAAAAAGGAAAAATAATCCAGCTGAGTGTTTCTTATTCCAGACATGGAAGGCTAGAAATGAACTTGTTCACACTTTTAAAATTTAATTCCAAACTCATAACTCGCCACTCAAAACCACATTTACAAATAAATAAAAGGGCAAAAAAAAGAAAAAAAAAAAAAAAAGAAGAAATAAAAAAGACTTCACCAGTAGGTCATAAAAATAATCAAAATAAATTCTGATATTGTTGACTGTTAAACTCAACTCTTCAGTGGGTTGTTGTTGAATTGACACATCATAAAAAGTCCTTCAATACAGCAATAATGATCTGGACAAAAGAATCTGAAGCAGATAACATATTTTATTCACACTTTCTATTGTACAAGAAACAACCAACAGAAATGTTGAAGCTCCTGCTTGCTGCTCAGAGGTATGGCTGGTCTGTGGACAGTGGTGGCTCTTTATACACAGCTCCAGGTGTCACAGGAACCTTTGGAGTCTCAGCAACTTGGCTAAAAGACACAAAAGATAATAAATACAAACACCAAATTTGAAAGAAAAAAAAAAAACTGAAAAATTACTAGGGCTGGGGGTAAACGATTATTTTTAAAACGATTATTCTGACGATTATTTTATCGAATAATCGACTATTCTAATGACTATTTAGAAAATTAATCTAATGATTATTTTTCTATTGCACAATTAACAAAAACCAGAAAATCTCAAATAAATTAATCAAAAAAATTGATAAATTCTTACTGAGAGGATAAACACTACGGGCCTTCCATTTTGTATAACACTGCTTTTATTGTGTTGCGGTTGGTTATGTTGTGATGACGTGTAGATCTTGGGAGTGCAGGCTGCTGTCTGAGAGGTGGTAGAAGATGGAGTGTCTCCATGCTGCTTTGTTTTGGTCACTTATGTGCGGGAGGGGAGTGGTGTTACGACTCTTCCTGGGGAGTTTGGCTCGTGCGCAAAAAGGAAGGGACAATAACGGGATTTAAAAGTTAAAATGATGATCAGGTTTATTTACAACAACAAAAATCATAAATCTTTCCATCCACAGGTTGGGAATGATAAAACTAATTCTGCCTGTGGGGAATTAAAACAAAGTACAAATAAGTAGGGAACCAAACTCTAAACTGGGTGGTTAAACCAAACTCAAGGTGATATTTTAAACTAAACCGAAAACCCACAACACTCTAAATGTAATAAAAGGGAGATCTGCACCGCAAAAAAGATGAACTCTAAACCAAAACATAACAGCTGATCCAAAAGCAAGAAGCTGTTAGCGAAAATGCTAACAGTAGCTTTACCAACGTTAAGTTCAAGTTACCAAGTTTAAATAAACCAAAAACACCCAGCAGCAAACAGACCAGCACGGAGGAGAGACTGCTACCACCAAAACAGCTCTCCTGATGTCCGAAAGAAGCTCCTTTATGAAGGGAGAAACGCTCCCAGTGATTTTCTACATCTGCGGTAGAGACGAAGCAGCGCATCTGACCCCGGAAGTTGTTGTCCGTTGCCGGGAGACGAAGGCGGGCAAAACAGGAAAATAATCTAGTAGTGGACGGACATTGTTCCGGGTCTTCGGTATTTGGCGGAGATGTTAGTGAAGGCGGAGAAGATGGCGAACTAGAGGAAAAACGGGCAGATTCCTCCTCTATTTACAAACTCCTGGGGATGCAAGAAGTGGGCGCGGTGCGTCGACTTCCGGATCTGACGTCGACAAATTTTATTAATCGAGCCGTCGACGTCATCAATGCGTCGCTACAGCCCTAATAATTACCCATCAAATGTGTTTATTACTGTGTTATGATAAATGACACACACTTGAATAGCGCCTCTCAGAGTAAGGACTCCAAAGTGCTTTACACTACAGTGTATCATTCATCCATTCACACACACATCCACACACTGATAGTGATGAGCTACAATGTAGCTACAGCTGCCCTGGGGCGCACTGACAGAGGCGAGGCTGCCGAGCACAGGCACCACCAGTCCCTCTGACCACCACCAGCAGGCAAGGTGGGTTAAGTGTCTTGCCCAAGGACACAACAGCAGAATTCTCTGTCCGGAGCCGGGATCAAACCTGCAACCTTCCAATTACCGGACAACCCACTCAACCTGTTGAGCTACTGCTTCCATCATATTACGAGCTGTAATTATCGACAGGTGAGCTGAATAGACGACATTAAGGTTGGAGATGAGGGAGGAGTTTATATTGTGGGATATTTATGTGAAGAGTATCAGCAGGGGTTGCAGAGTAAAAGGTGCTTGACTGATGAAAGGAACGGTGACTTAGCTAAATAAAATACGTCTTCTTCCTGTGAATATGCAAATATAACTTTATTATAAATAACACGAGCATCTGATAAACACCTGAACCCACTTAGTGCATCCCCCTCCCTGTTGTCCATCCTCTACAGAGACAACAGAGAGCTGATATTCCAGCTGAGTTTACAGAGCAGAAACGTGAAGGATACAATGACTGAGCTGCTTTAACACCAGCTTATTGGTCAGCTAAGAGGTAAAACTTGCTCACAGCATGTTAAGTCATGTTATTTTGTACCTGCCAGGAGTAAGAGCCTTCTGGAAAGACATCACAATTGTGGGGGGTACCAACTGTCTGCGACCATCACGACTAAAGTAGTAGTTGTTGGCTAACTTGTGGCACGGGCCTACTGGCAGGTTAGGTGGTGGCTGCGTCCTGCATAAAAACATTGTTAAGGAAAATCAGTGATACAGTAAACATGTAGTCACGGTTAAAGTGAGATACAAAACACAATTGTGTAGCTTGATTGAATTGCTATTAACGTAAAATTATTATAGATGCAGAAAATATTTGAGTTGAAAATGTATTGAGCGTTCAACAACTACGTAGATAAAACAACAGCACAACATAGTCTTACCTCTTGGATATCTCTCCGTAACGCAGCTGCAGTTTAGCTTGCAGATCACGCTGAAAAATAAACACTTGTTTTGACAATTTTGACCAAAACCCCTAAATAATTTAATGAAACCTTTAATGACTTAAAAACGTTTTCCCCGAAGCAACTACTGCCTCAAGCTAGCTCTCTGTCTAGTGTTCATCATCGTACAGATTTATTATCACACTAAAACACACAGACCAAACAATTATTTCAAATTCAACAAAACACATTAGCATAATTTTAATTTAAAAGCCTGACTGAAGTAAATTAACTCACCCCGGCTAATGCATTTCGAAGCTTTCGAATGAATTTAGTAGCTGTAGCCATGCTAGCTGTTGTTGTGAAGGGCACGGGACTTCTTCGGTGGTGGTGTCGGTGTCTAACCTCGAGCCCGACTCCTGCTGGTCACAGAGAGGAACTGCATGACACAAAGGCTCATTAGAAGTCATGCATTTAGAATAAAATAGAAAATCTCTTTATTGTCCTCCAGAGGGAACTTTTGGTGTCACAGCAGCAGTTATGATACAGGAGCAAATTAGGAGTGTAAAAAAATAGAGTAAAATATAAGAAAACACAACACAGAAATACTTAAGACTCAAAAGTACTCAAATACTCCAAATTCCAAATGCTGAATATTTACACATTTTAGAAATAAAAATATTCGAAGACACAATAAATACTGTGTGGATAAAAAAAAATCACGACCAACAAATAAACATCTATAAATTCAGACTGGGTTACAAACTTGCTGCCAAGTTTTAACAATACACAAAAATTAAAATGTAACTGCTGCTGTGACACCAACATTTCCTCACTGAGAGACAATAGAGGGATTTTCTATAAAGACAGAATAGCAACGAAGGTGTTCTGTGGGGTGATTTTGGTAGTAACCATACAAGTGATAATACTGCCATGGTGACACATTGTTGTTATGAGTGGTCAATTTCATTTAATAATTATATTTTCATGTTTCAAATATTAACTTTTTCTTAAGTTTTACAAGCGACAGGTGTTTAGTTTGGATAGGACAAATACGTGTTCAAACCGTTTTTAAACGTGTCGTGCTCAACTTTCTTGACTGTACCAAATATGCCATACATATTAAAAAAGTTCCTATTATGACTTTTTTAAAATAAAACTGAATATTAAAACACGTGTGTGGAACGTAAATATCATGTATTGTGTGAACAAAATGTTCACAAAGCAAAAACAATAGAAGAAACCCCTCCCCTAAAAAAAGAGGCACAAAGAGAAATACAAAGTTTATTCTTAGCACAAGAAAACACAGTACAGGGCAACAATGCCGGTATACCATGCAGTCAAGTATTACAGCTGTGTGTTTGTGTCATGCAGCATGCACTGATCAGGAGACCACAGAAGAACACGTGCACATGTACAACAGCTTGACCTGCCAGTTTGTTTTTTGAGATTGTTAAACGGCAGCTGACCTTCAGCCGGCCTGACGACAGCGACACTAAACTTCCAACTGGTGGAGATCAGCACAGTGATGAAGTATGTTTACATTCACCTGAAAAAACTGGTTGTCACGGAAACATTTACAGCTGGAACTGATTCAGTGTAGCGCTGTTTTTCCTATATTTGACTAGTTTCTTCAGATCTGCCCCCTCATACAAACTGTTTCATGATTCAGCCAGCTATGGCTCCACTATTTCCCTTATTTGCATCTGTAACAAGTTTAGAAATCACAATTTTAGCTAAAACAGAAACTAAAATCTGCAACTCGAGCCAGGTTTTAGCCAGTAAGTGTATCACCATTTCTTGTTATGTGGATGTAAACATACAAAAGCACCATTTTGTTTGGTACTAAATCACTCCTTAAGAAAACACTCCATGTAAACAGATATGCAGCGTCTGTGCGTAGTTTTCTTTCATGGTATCAAAGAGGATTGTTTTATCATTTTGAGCACATGATATAACGTGTTTGTACATCACATCTCATGTTGTTTCATTGTAAACAGTCGTGTCAGGCTGCAGGAACGACCGAGTCATTCAGCGACCTGTCCAGTTCACCAAAAACAGCAGCATCAGCATCGTGTATGCTCGTCATCACAAGACTGAAGGACTTTTAAGGAAGAATAGGAGTTTTAGAAACACGTTAACAGTTCTGATGCTTCATAAAAACAATACAAGAGCATCTGGTACAAAACCAGAATCACGGATTGAAAACTGAGACGAACATTAAAACCTCGGCTCTCTAAAGGGCAAAGGTCGTGTACTTCAAATGTGCGTAGATGTGAAATACTCATCTTGTTCTAACAGAACTTTCAAAAATCCTGATTCCACATTTTGCCACCGTGCATCCATGATTACCTTCGTCATATTTGGATTAATACAAAGCCTCGATACCAAAATATACATCGATATTTGTACAAAATGAATAACTTTTGATCAAAGAACCCCTGGATTTGAAATCGCTGAAAATGTGACGGTTCCAATTTTTGCTGATCGCGTTTCAAGACACAGCGTACTGAACGTCGAAATAATGCACTTTCCCTTCTGATGTAAACTTGACTGCACAACAGGAAGTAACAACGGGTTGTTCGGGAGTGGTTTTGCACAAAATAACAGAAAACAAGCAGTTTGGGTTTTGCTCGTTGGAAACAAACGAACAAAAACATTCCCCAAATTCAAAATTATCACCAGAAAAGAAAGAAGCAAAACAAACGTCAGGATCTTTTGAACAAAAACAGGCAATCCCCTTTAGTTTCCATCTGAGTGGAACAAGTTGTGCCGCTAATGCATCGATTATTCAGATGACCTCGAAAAGCAGCGACATCCAAAGCTTAGTGATAATTCTGCGTTTGAAAGAAAACAAAACCAGTGAAGAAGAAACTAAATACACAAGAAGTTATTAAATATATGGCTTAAGAGGACAGCACTCTGAGACCATGGCACATCAAACCCTTCAAGTTGCCTTCATCATGTTTCCATTAAAGCTGTCACAGCTGAGCAGCATCTCAGACTTCTGTAAGGAGCGTGGAAAACAAGTCAGTGGCATGAGATTTGTCATTAATATAAATATTAGTTGTAGTGGCGTGAAAGCAACGAAAACAAAGATCCGAGTAAAAACCTGTAGGATGCTTCCACAACAAACCCATCACGCTCCTCGTGATGTGACTTTAAAAGTTTTTGACAGTCGATATCGGATCTACAAAAACAGACACGTTCTACTAAGTCCTGACCGCTTTAATAACTTTTGCTTGTTTTGGTCCAATGAGATTCCAGCATTATCCTTGAGCCACTACAACGTAACTGAAAAATAGACATTTTTAGAAAAAAACCCATTCAAAAGACATAAAACCACATTTCATGGATACAAAATGTTCAAACCTTGGCTATTTAAACAATGAGAACTTCCCTCTTTCCTCGTTACAATTTCAAACTTTACAAAACTAATAAATATGACAAAGTCTTCTGATGCCTGAAGGCAAATGAAGGACAAATACAAAATTCAAGTAAAAGCTTCAGCCAGATCAGCTTGTAACTAAAGTTACAGCTCGCAGGTATGTGGGTCTAAAACAGCTCGGCTTCACTGGAGAAGGAACAGAGACCAGAAAAGAGAACAGCGATGATGTCACTTCCTCACGAGTTCTTTCTGTGGCGTTTTCTCACTGCGTTCGGCACTTCCCGATGCTGGTACGTCTTGGTGACTGATGGATGTAATTCCTGCTACCTGAAAGCTGTCTTTGAGCGGACATCCTCCTTGTTGCTGTTGGGATGAAGGAACCTCCAGCTCCGTGTTCTCATTGGATTCCTCTCCATCTGAGCATGGCTCCCACTCATCCTGCTCCTCGCTCTCCGTGGAGCCCTGAACAGCAATCTGGGGCACCAGCGTGAACCTCCTCACCACGGGCACCTCCAGCTCCACCTCCTCCCGACTCTGGGGCCGAGTGACCATCCAGGCCATCCTGTGCTGCTGCTGGGGGTGTGCTGGGACTCCTGGAGCCATGGTGGTACCTGTCGTCACGCTGCTGCTTTTTTCCTCCGGCTCATCAAAGCTCACTTCCTGCACAGCCTCCTGCTTTTTAAAAGAGTCTCTGCGCTCTGAGAGGTTGAGCTTCCTCATCACAACCAGCTGCTCTGATCGTTCTGTGCCGGAGTCCCGAAGTCTTTGGCTGCTTATGTAGCCCCCCAGTCTGTGGTCTGCACCGATGTAAAAAGCTCCACTGGCTCCATCTACCTCCAAATCACCCAAAAAGTCACCCTCACCATAAAACGGCACTTCCAGCGTGTGCCTGCGGGGGGTGTAGGATTTCTTGTCAGCATGATACACACCTGACAGCTTCTCCGCTGACTGCACCCTCTTGAGCAGAGGAGATCGAGGTGGCTCTGCACTGCGGGGACGAACCACGTGTCTGACGATAGTGGGGGGCGATAAAGTTTTACCGTGAAAAGTGTGAAGAGCTTTGGCGAAGCCTGGAAGTGGGGAAGGTGATCGTTGTGGGGACAGAGGCTGGGTGGAGGATGAAGAGGAGGTACAGGCGAGAGGAGAGGGGGGGATGTTACTGGTCGACTTCCGCCGACCCACCTTTGTGTACCGCTGCGTGCTGAGTTTGGAGCCCAGCCCGTGGAGAGAGTTGGGTCGGATGTGAGTGGCCGGGGAACTGGGAGAGCTGGAGCATGGAGATGTGCTCTGAGGAGAGTTGTCTGGGAAGCAGAAGGAGGAGAAAAAAGTGCAAAGACTTTAACAACACAAGATTTTCCTCCTCTACCCATCAGAACTTTTGAACTTCATTGCTTCCTCCCAACTCACCACAGCCCGGATGCTCTGGTGCGGGACTCCTGCAGGGTGTTGAGGGGCCGGGGGACAGGCTGTGTGTGGGGGAGCCCGGGAGGCTCTCGCTGGAGGAAACGGAGTGATGAAGCCCCGAGGAGAAGCTGCGACTACTGTGCATCACTGTGCTTTGCTTGGACAGTTTCTTTAGGATGGTCCTTCGCCTGAAAGTAGGACAGCAGCAAATTAAGACAATTCATATGAATTTAAAAATTTCTATTCACAAACATCACATAACATTAACCTTCATGCATGTTTAAACCTAACCCTAACACTAGAGGGAGACAAAGCACCAAATAAAAACCAAACTAAGTAAACAGCAGAGAGATGAGGAGAAACCACAGCTTCACCTGTCATAATTATCTCTCTTTCTGCTCTTCTTGCTGCGACGAGCCATCTTCCCTTTGTGCTTGGTCTTTCGAGCTGGGCCGACTTTTATCGACGTGTTTTCGAGAGCTATGGTCTGGAGAGCCACCTTGCTGCCACTCTGCACATTTCAAAAGAACCAAAGACTTAGAGTCAACATGAGACTAATTCTTGACACGGAGATTCTGAAGCATGTGACCGCAGTACCTTCAACAGCAGCTCGATCATCTCTGTGTGCACGAGGCCCTGGACAGGCTCTCCGTTCACGTGGGTGATGAGGTCTCCAGTGTGGAGGCCTGCCTGGTGAGCTGGGCTGCCCTCCTCCACACTCTTTTAAAACAATGAGCAGAAGAGTATCATATCAGCATTATATAACTACCTCTTCAAGTGCTGCACTACCAGAGTAACATATGAAAAACACATTTGTATTACAGCAGCACTCACAGACACCATGTGATGCACAGTGTAGACGTCGCTGTCACCCATGTAGACCCTGATGGCCTGCAGGGTGAAGCCGTACTTCTTCCCTGAGGTGTGGATGACAATCGGAGGCCTTAAGCTGCTGGGGCTTAAGGAGAAATCCCGGTTAGGGGACGAGTCCCGGGATGAGGGGTTGGAAGACAGTGAACGCGGGGAGATGGGGCTGGGCTGGAGGCCGACGGGTGAGTCGTCTGAAATGTACAGAAATTTTACATTAAAAACATCAGCAAATGTCCGGCTTTTAGGATTCATCCTCTACTTCCACATTCAGGCATACGTGTTAAAATAACTAAGCAGATGTTATACTTTTGGTCTTTGATGATCGTTTTTTTTTTCTGCAGACCTGTGGTGATGATGAGGGACAGCGCCGAGACGGAGGCTGATTTGGGAACTTTTCCTCCACAGGGAAGCTTCTGTCTGTCTGGTGTCTCCAGCTGGTTACCGAATCGCCGAGGGCCCGTTGGGTCCTTGGGGGACGAGTGTTTGGCCCCGGTGCTGTTGCTACGGATCCGGATCCTCCTGAGGTTTGACACCACCACTTCAGCTGCAGACGGGAACAACGTTAACATAAACATGTCCACCGGTGAGGATGCAACTGGGCTGTTGTGATGGGTCCACTTTTACCCTCGTCATCAGTAGAAAGGGCGAAGCGAGGCATCGTCTCCAGGCTGTGGGTGCTGCTCATCACCAGAGGACTTGTGCTCCGTTCAGACTGGGAGGAGCTGGAGGAGGTCCGAGGGCGAAGGCTACAGTCAAAAAACAAGTTGGGTGACTAAAGATCAGCGGAAATGAGATCAGATCACTAAATCAACCGAGCCATGTGGTGCACAAACACAAGAGCCCCTTTTCTACAACAGCTCATGCTTTCATGTGAACTTACCAGGCCATGCGTCCCGAATGCCTTTTTTCCATACTGCCATCAGCTGGGATCGGGGACAAACACAATCCTCCAACGTCCCCTCTGTCCTCTTTTTCCTCACTGTGACTGCGGTCTGAAGAGAAGCTCAGGTTGGACGGTGTCGCCAGATGTTCTGTGCTGCTGTAAACCTTAAAGAATAGAAATATGTAAATTAAGGAGCTGGCAGTCACACGGGAAGTCTTTCCAGTTTAAAAACTTACAATCAGCCTCTTGACTCAACAGAAAAGCCATGCTTACCTTGCTGAAGCGATGTGACCAGGAAGAAAACTGTCTGATTTCCAAAGATGACTCCTCATCGTTGGTTTCTTCATCTTCATCAGATGCCAAATGGTGGTAGCGATCTGAACGAGCTTCAGACAAAAATTTTAACTTAAAATTTGAAGGGACTTTTCCATCCGTAACTCTAAACTCAAATAAAACGCACGCCCAAAATCCTGCAAAGAGCCGAATTAGCTAAATCTTTCTTATATGGTTACTTAACAAATTTCCATTAGCAGATAAACAACAAGTTACGTTTGTCTTGAACAAGAAATTACAATAACTTACTGTCGAAGTAGCTGGTGTCATCTTCTGCCTCCAGCTGAGGAATGAACTCTGCCTTTTGTCGGAGGAGTCCATTCCAGTCCAGACCCAGGAAGAAAGGGTGGTGTTTGACCTCTGAGGCCCCGCCTACATTCACACAGATTTCAGTTTCTAACCAAAAAGATAAATACAGACAGATGTGACATCATTGTAAGTGTTCTTATAAAGGGTACCTGTCCCCAGTCGTTCTAACGGGCTCTGCCTCAGCAGCCGGGTGATCATGTCCTGGGCATCAGTAGGCAAGGCATCATCTCCTTCTGGCCAAATGATGTCATCTAATCATCAGGAAAATGGAATTATCATAAGATCCCAAACAGAAGTTGGGGAAATAAAAATGTACCCTCGTATTAAAGGTGCATTATGTAGAAATGAAGTAATAAAAAAAATTACACCTAGTGGTAAAATTGGTTACTGCAACTACTTTAAACAACTTTTTGCCAGCTGTCCTCAATTTACAATTGTCAGTGCTGCAGTATTAGCTCGCAGGAGACACGGCACCCCCACTCACTGATGGTAAACAGTAGCTACGTCCCTCCTTCCTTTGTTGTGAAAGCAAAAAAAACTGATAATCCCGCAGCCAGCTGGATATGAAACATGTTTCAGTAGAACCTTCCTTCCAAAATCACTGAAACATTACTCTCTTGGGATTTTCTCACTGTAAAATTCTCACTATATTTTTACATACCGCACCTTTAAAGCATCTACTCACCACTGACAACTTGGCCAAAAAGCTCCTCAGGAGTGTCTCCAAAAAACGGAACACATCCCACCAGGAACTCGTAGAGGATGATTCCCATCGCCCACCAGTCCACTGGCTTCCCATATCCCTGTCTGAGAATCACCTCAGGGGCGATGTACTCTGGAGTGCCACACACCTGAACAAGCCACCCAACAAGAACCCGTTTTATCACTGATGTCACAAATGTGTGTTAGCTTTTTACTTCCTCTCTTCTTTTGATACTTTCTCACCTGTTTGTCAATAAATTCTCGCGTGTCTTTTTCCATGTGACCCTCGTACAGGTTTGTAGTCATGTTCATCAAGCCGATTTTAGACAAACCAAAGTCTGTCAGCTTAATGTGACCCATCGATGTGATCAATAAACTGGTGGAGACGAAGAAAACAAATGATAAGAAACACAAGTCTGCTTGACTTCTGTGTGATATGTAAATTAGCTCACAGGTAAAACTCCAAAAAGTAGGATAAGGTGACAGAAGTCCATTCATTCAGCTTAGACTGAGAGACCACCTAAAGGTTTTGGATTCATTAGCTGATTAGAGTGTGACACTTTATTGAACCTTTTCACTATATTCTAACTGTCTCCCATTTTGAATGCGGAGTTTTGTGTAAACCGTTATCATCACAGTTATAACAAATAAAGGCGTGAAATATCTGGCTTTGTGTTGAATGAGTATCATCTAGTAGCATCACCTTTAAATTGAATTAAATAAATGAACTTTTGCACCACACTCTAATTTTCGAGTTTCACTTGATTGTTTAACTCAAAATAGAAATATAAAAAAAGGGGTAAAAAAGTCAAATCTGTATTTTTTATGCATCTATTATCAACCACAGCAATGTTAGTCTCAACCAAAACACTAAACTAGAGCGAGTCTGGAGTCGGCTTCCTACTTGTCAGGTTTAAGATCACGATGCACTATTCCGTAGTTGTGAAGGTACTCGAGGGCCAGAACTGTTTCAGCAAAATACATCCTGGACATTTCCACAGGCAGCGGGCCCATGTTCTTCAGCAAGTTGGCACAATCCCCACCTAAAAACAATTAAACAAAATATTTTCTATTTCCCATTAACAGACAGGAGTTAAAATATTAAACCACACACATTACAGAATGCTACAAATATTACTAAGAGCAGAAATCTGGAGTTTTAGCCTCATCTAGAGGCCAAAAAAATGTACTGCACCATCAGCCCTTCTCCCTACAGTCATGATCACAGCTGGAAGACACGTCGTTTGTGAACATCTAGCCGGGCAAGAGAGTAAAAAACATTCAGTCTGTTAACACGCGCATCTGAGTTAATCTAAAAAGTAATGAACCTTTATCCTAGTTAACATGTACATTAGAAAACCAAAGTCTCAAATGAAATTCATTCCACTCCGGTACTTTAGGTGGCGACATGCACACTTTCATGTTGGCATTCCTCCAGTTAGCTTAAAGCGGCACAAATAGCAAACGCTGGTGGGAGAGAAGCAGACTAAGTTGAAACGGGATGCGCTCAACGGCCGACGGAAAGGACAACGACAACATAGTAGGACTACTTATATGGAACGTACAGCACTGTTTGATGGTGCTACATTGTGGTGATTATACGATCAGAGGACCGCTTCTGCGGACTCGCCGCTTCCCTAAGTTACTGGTATCTGACCGACTGAGCCATTTACACGCAGATGCAGTTGGTTTCCTACCACATTATCTGGGTGCGTCAGCGTGATTAAAACCAGTTTGCCTTCAGAAAAACGCGTTTACATGCATATAAAAAAACCAATGAGTCTATTTAGGGCAAAAACTTCGGTTTTCCGACGCTCATGTAAACGCTGTTTTCAATCACGTAGAGCTGTTTTTCATAAAGACAATTTTGAAAGACTTACATGTCCATAAGAAATGTTGCCAACTCTTGCAACAGTCTAGGTATGTTCTCAAAAGCTTGTGCACGCTCTGTGTTTGACATCTGTGCGTGAGCGGATGTAAATCCCTATTGGCTAATGCTGAATGCACCTCAATTCAAGCTGCATGAGGCTCTACGGGACGTATTTCCTACAACGTACCACAGTACAGGGTAAGATTATCACTTTTACAAATTTCTCTAAAAATTATACAAAATTCCCAAAAGGGGGAACATTCTGGATTTCTGCTCCCAGGACCAATAATCATTGAACCTGCTAATTAAGATTAATAATCTTAGAATCTGTGGTGTTTGTTTAAAATTCAAAACGATTCTAGTTCAGCCTGAGAAAAATGATTGAAACAGAGATTTAAACCCTGTATCTGTTGCTCTCTTAACCTTACCTTCAACATACTCCATGACCATGCAGAGGTGGCGTCGCGTCTCGAAAGAGCAAAACATGGAAACAACAAAGGGGTTCTCAGCAAAGGTGAGGATGTCTCGCTCCACAAACGCTTGTTGAATCTGGTTCCTCAGCACCAGGTTCTGGCGATTTATCTTCTTCATGGCGAACCGCTGCCGTGTCTCTTTGTGGCGAACCAGGTACACCGCACTGTTCAAATGAAAATAAATAAATTAGGATCCATAACTCTAACACACTGGTGTTAATCCACGGTCACTGTTTAGAAAAATAAAATCAAATAAAATAAATATGAAAAATAAAGGTTGTCCAACAAATTTAAAAGGTTTGAAACATATTATGCTTCTGACTGATATTTGAAAAAAGCATAACCCCCTAACTACAAACAGGGACTTCCCTCTTACCCATAGGCTCCGTTACTGATGAGTTTAATGGTCTCAAAATCACTCTCAAGTGGTTTTCTTCGAGTCGGAGTCAGCGTCTGTGGAGTCTTCTAAACAGAGAGCAGAAGTGACGCTTTTGGACAATTGAGCAAAAAGATTACAAGAGATTGCTCACAGATTCATACTCACTATATGACCAGTTATTAATCTAAAAACTAGACCCATTGTTTACAATTATATAAAATAATCAGCCAGTGTGAAAAAGATCGTTCTGATTTAAAAAGTTTCTGATTTTAAATTATCTTTAGAATGTGAAAAAACGACAAAAATCCAGAGACGCACTCAGTTACTGAGCTGTGTCCTCTCACGGTTAACGACAGCTGAGGGCTTACCTCTACAGCAGCGTCTGGCTCCACTGAAACTGTAGCAGCAGCTTCGTGCTCCAGCTGCACCATGTCTGAAACCAACAGAAGGAAACACCATTTAACTCCAGCTCCTCACCCATTCAGTTCCATCTGTTACTTGATTTTCCCAGAGAGTTTCAGAACTCTTAAGGGAACCCGATATTCCCTTAAGGCATTCCTTATTCTAGTAAATCTTAAGTCATACGGAGCCTCCGGCAATGAAGTGGGTTGGTAAAGTTTAATGAAATGAAAGTCTTTTGTTTTTTCATTTCAGGTGTAAAAAGCTCAAGATTTTTCATTTTTAAGTCCCGTTTTGATAAATTCACACTTGAACCCAAAGCTAGTGGTGCAACGAAGCAAAAATCCCACGGTTTGGATTGTATGGCGGTTTTGAGTCACGGATTGCATCATTTTCAGATTTGCAGAAAGAAAAGAAAAACGGACAAATAACCTTGCTCTCTCTCTCTATATGGTAAAACACTTAGTGCAATTTTTTTCTGCTCATTAAATAAAAACACTTAACTAAGACTCATTCAATGCAGTTACGTTCTATAATATAAATGTAAAATATTGTTATAACCCAAGGACACAACAGCAGCATTTTCTGGTCGGAGCTGGGATCAAACCTGCAACCTTCCGATTACTGGACGACCCGTTCGATCTCCTGAGCTACTGCTGTCCCATTCAGGAAGAATGTTCTTATCTGGAATGTTAATTTCTACCAGGAATAATGGAATCATAGATGTCTGGAATACATATCCCGTCTGCCTAATAGGTGTTAAAAAGGCCACTTTAGGTTTTTAGGGATTCTGAGATTTCTCAATCAAACTTAATTCCTACTAGTGAATTTGTTATTACAAATATCCTTAAAAATAATTCACATCATGACAATATTGATGTTGATGTTTTCATTTACAATTTTTACTAACAGAATACAACTAGTACTAGGATAAATTAAATGATATAAAATAGGATGTACAGAGAGGACCAATTGCTGAAGACGAGCTCACTCTTAGAGTGTACTGTTTTAACTCGTCTCCTCACCTTTCTGAAGCGCGTTTGTTTTACTTTTCTCCTTTTTACAGATTTGTCCCCACCAATAGTTCAGGGCCATCACATTAAAGTAATAATTGTCCCAGCCTGCTTTCATAGTGATCGGAGGTTCTGCTGTGCCGTCAGACTGGAGGTGCGTGTGTGTGATCATTTTTGCCGTTTGTATCATCGTATTGACAGGGAAGCCAAAATGCTCCCATACATGTGACTTAAACGAAGCAGTTGATTTTTCAAGCTCCTCTCCTCTTCTGCCATGAGGACCACTGTGCTTTTCTCGTTTTGGATTGAAAATGTGGCGCCTCAGTGACCAATCCGCAGATCACCTGCGTGCCGAACCGTAGAGAGACCCCTGCGGATTACAGATCAATGATGATCCGTTGCACCCAAAACACATTTTGTCAAATGATGTGCAAAATCTTGGCTCAAATGAAGGATTTAGAAAGTAAACAAGACCCTCAGTTATAAAGTATGTATGTGCTTACTGTGCTGCTAGACCATCTATAATATTGGGGCACATTAAAATACCAACAGATCATCTATTCCACATGGATGAGGTGTAAATATGAACCATGTACTTGCATTCACAAGAAAAAGGTGTTTATCCTTAAAATTAGCTGATAAATGAACACTGATTACTAATAACAACACACCTGTCTGTACCTGGAACTTATTAGCTTTAAGTGTTAAAGTGTTATGGAAATTTCCAGAGAATTATAAAACTACAAATCAACCATCAGATTGTCTCCAGTTTAAAAAAAAAACCTACTACATTACAAGTATAGCTCGGGTGTTTTGCATAAAAAACTGTTTACAGTTACTGGTAATTCAACTGGGTCCAAATTTGTGATTTTATTTCTGAAAAATACTTAAAAACCAGCTAATGCTCTGTAGCTTTACTGAAAAACCAACATCAATGTTTAGATTTCATAAAATTAGAACACATGTGAGCCACATTTGAAGGAAGTGAATAAACTTTTCCTCTTGCGAGTGGAGGCGAGGCTTGGCTTGCTCACTGAGCTTTGGTTTACCTTCTAACGGGTCTCGGGTCAGACCAAGCTGGCTGATGATGTAGCGTGGGATGTCCGTCTTTATCCCCTGACCCACTTTGGCATGACCCTCTGCTGCTTCAAGCAGGTGATAAAACTCTTCTGGGTCAAACTCCTGTAAACAACATCCAGAAGTAATTAAAGTGGAGAGTTTGAGGTCAGAATCCTATGTGTGTGTGTGTGTGTGTGTGTGTGTTTTGCAATAAGCACAACTCAATGTCAGCATGGTCTTAAGTTAATCAGTATCAGTCAAAAGCCATCAAGCCCAAGTGCTATAAGGTTTCCTACTTGTAATTATCCTGGATTCCCAACAATAATCCTAATCTGAAGACTTGAAGTAACCAACACAGCTAATGTTAGCATGGTCACTGGTTTAACAGGGAAATTACAACAGGGCTTCTGGTTTGCATTTTGTGTACTAAAACAATCCAACAACGAAAATAGCTTTACGTTTTTTTTTAAAATACATCAGCTATGAGATACAACATTTAAATAAAAATCGACTTACATTTTTTTTTTCAAAATAAAAAAGAAATCAAGAGTCTTATTTTAGTGAAGAAAAAAACTCCCATCTGTCTATTATTTCTTCTTCTGCATCTTACCAGACATTCGAGGAGGCGAGCTGGTCGGGAGATTATGATGAGGATCTTCCTCACCAGCTGGGTGATGACAGTTACCTCCTCACTTTCAGAGCGTTCGTAGGCCTGTTGGAGAGAGAGAGAGAGATCGGGGGGGAGAGAGGGAGGTGTAAAAATGTAGAGCTGAAAATGTTCATATATGGCAACACAAAAGCAAACCTTTTATTTGTATAAAAGTGAAAAAAATTAAAACTAAACCAAAAAAGTAAAACATCCATTCCAATTTCCTTGTTTCCACATATTGGGATAAATTATGAGGAAAATATTAGAAAGACAAATAAAGTAGGACTGTAAAAAATAAAAATGTTTTTTGAGGAGTATTTTATAAACCAGTGTCTCCAACACCATTAAGAGTGTCATGCCATTTATAAACCTCTTTAACACATGATGAAATCAGAATAAAAAAGTCATATGAGAAGTGAAGTGATGATTCTTTGAGACCTCTTTATTTCCTCCACAGTAAAGCATCATGAACATTTTATACAAAAAAGGAAGGCTTCTTCTTGGTGTGATGTCAACAAGGAATTTATTTTAAATTTAAGAGTGGAAGGACTGGATAGGCAAAAAGAGGAGGGTCAGAGCTTCACTGTTTCAGTAGAATAAACTCATCCAAATGTCAAACACAGCTGTCACACACAGTGTCTCAGACAAATCTCTGCTTATAATCTTTACACAAAATGTGTTTCCAATGTACATCTGACTTTGGTCAAATGGGAAACATCTACAAAATAAAATCGTTTGCAATACTTTGTTTTCATTTTATTCTACCAGTGATTTTAGGAAGTTCCAGCTTCAATCTAAAATAATGTAAACATCACAACCAAAAAGGAGTGTAAATATAACATTTGAACAGAGGAAACAGTGTGACATGGAAGAATGGAGGCTGATTCTGGGTTCTGCTCTGGTGTTAAACAAACTTCTGCTCTTACAAAATGTTTCCACAAATAATCTCCTTCAAACATCAGCTGCACATAACTACATGGACGATGAATCCAAGTTAAATTCCTTTTAAAAACAGAACTAAAACATGAAATTGTTGCAACCCCTTTGCTGCATTAGGTTTCCAGTTTAATGCACATGGAAGTTCAGGGATTTTTCCAGAACAGTGACCCTGGCACAAATAGTTGTTTGTGTAAGAAAGTGTTTGCTTTACTTTATGGGAACAGACTTATCAATTCAGCTGGAGGTGCAGGCATTAAGCCACAATGTCTCTCCAACAGCATGCAGAAAAACAGGAGAGTTGCTATAGAAACCGATTTTACCAGATCATGCATGGAACCCATGTTAAACTGCCTCTAACTGTCCCTGACAGTTTTAACCACCATCTCTCGTGTGTGTTTGGCTGTCAGACGACTATTGAGTGACCTGCTCTGCTGCACAATTCACTAAAGTTCAATCGATCCTCTTTCATAACCTCATCCAATCAGATCCAAGTGACCAAATAAAGTGCAGCTAAGCATCGCGTGCGTCTGCAGCTGGGTGTTTTCCTCACCTCGTGAAACAGCTTCTCCAGCTTCTCCTGCAGCTCAGCGAAATAGCGGGACGTCACCAGGCCTTTCTGGGACTTGTCCAGACAGTCTCTAACCAGCTCCACCAACTGGTGCTGGATGAAGCCCAGCACCCCGTCGGCCAACGGGAGGGAGCTGTCTGGAGAGTAGTGCGTGACAATCTCCAACAAGCGCTCCTCCATCTGGGCCGTGGCCTTCAGGGAAAACACACACACACACACATACAAAGAGCCTGTGATTCTGATCATTACTCTCTTGTTGGAACCAAATGTTCATAATTGTGAAATGAGATAAGTCCTAGAGTTGTCTAGCTTAACCAATGACTCATTTATTATTACACCAGTTAAGACTTGTGTCTTTTAAAACTCAGGTGGAATAACACGTGTGTGAGTGTGTGTTTTGTTGTTCATCTAGTACGTACCTTTGGAAAACGCTCTCTGTAAACATGGTTCATCATGACTATCTCATTATCAAAGGAGACACTTGATCGGCCGGGGCTACGATAGAAACAAAACACATTACTATTAGGAAACTGATCGATTTGGCAACCTTTAGTCAATCCATGACCCAATTGCTCGGTCTGCTGACCTAATTAGCTATGACATGCAAAAAAAAGTCATCTAGAACTTGCAAGCAGTCAGTCAAGTTCTGTGTAACTTTACATACAAACTCTATAAAGGCATGGCTGAAAGCATTTTTATTAGGTCAGCTTCAGGACTACTACTAATCTCTGCCAAAAGCAGTAATGTGAGTCAGAATTTTAATCTCCTTCTTAAGCTGGTAAACCTGCATTCAGCTTGGATTTTACTGCGAGGCTTCTATGTTTCTCCAGAAAACATATCTTTTACCAGCAGCTGAGGTTTCTCTTGGCCAAACCGTGTGACTCATCAACACCAATCAATTAGCCATGCCCTGTCAGCATTTAAGCCAATCAGATTCGTGCATTTATGCTGAAATGTCTTGCCTGATGAAGCTTCAAACAGAACAGATGAAGGGAAAACCTATCACATGCAAACACACTCCCAGGGCCTTTTCATTTATTTCCTTGCCATGAAAGACGCCTCTGTTACTCTGGATGGCTGCAGCTCACTGCGGCACTCCTCCCCCTCCCCCAAAAACTAACCCACCCACCCTTGACTACAGTTTAGCAGCTCCATCCCGGAGGCGCTCTGTTAGATAGCACGCCCACACACTGCACACCCTGGTGCCAGAACACAGAGCACTCAAGCCTAGCACAAACAGCATAGAGATGAGCCAACAGACAAAAGTTGTCAAGATCACACAGCTCTGCAGTCAGATCTGCATCTGCCTACCGACCAACAGCCATGTGCAGTCGGTAAGAGACCCCGAAGTGCTAAAAGCTGCATCTGCTTGTGAAATTGTCTCGGTCAAACTGCTGCAGAGACATCCGATGGTGTGTAAATGTGCAGTTCAAAACTTGGACTCACAGCTGAAAACTTCAAATGTTTTTCTACTTTTTTAGCTCCATAAAAAACTCAAACATAAACAAAAGAATGATTTACACAAAACCTTTGAAAAGTAGAAACATTTTTCTTAATTCTCCTTTTGCCACCATGTATTTACTAACATCTGTAAAAAGAAAAGTGGGTTTATCCAAAAGCGACTCGTTCCAGAAGAACGCTACATCAGGATCATGTACCTGAGGCTCCTTGAGCGAGGTCGTAAGAGTGGCGAGGGCCGTCCGTCCTCATCCGTGATGCTGTCCGTGCTGCGAAAGTGCTTGAAAAGGAAGTGCAGCTCGTCTTGTGTCGGCTGGTAGGGAAGCTGGTGAAGACGCTCCTGAGAGGACGAGGACGACTAAACACACAGGCAGACACATGATGGGAGGAAAATAAGTTTCTTCTTTCAGCATACATCATGACATACACCTCTAAGAACACTGGCTCCATAACACTAACTGCTCTTTAGATAAATTCTGATGGGCACACACACACACACACACACACACACACACGCACGCACGCACGCACACACACACAAAAGATCAATGGTCGTAATCATATCTTGTTACAGCACCACAAGATGCTAAAGTAAACATGTCAGTGGGCAGCGACTGATGGCAACAAGTCAAAGAAGTTTTATCGCAAACAAAAATATCTGACTTTCCATTAGAATCACACTGAAATGGGGCAAACAACACATTTACTGCAAGTTTAATACTATATGGCTAGGTCACATAGGGAGTGTAAGAGCATGGTTACAAATAGGGACTGGGACTTGTCTTGCAGCAAAGTAGGGATGGTCCAATCAATCATTTTTTTCTCTTGATCCAAGTCATAAGATTTTGATGATCTGTCAACACCAAGTCCTGATCAAAGACTTCAGCAATGCATCAAAATAAAGAACAAAAAGGAGAATACATCCCAGATTTCCTGTATTTTTATTATTATTTATGAATACATTTCTTTTTCGTGTAATTTCTTTAATTTATCTGCCAAAAAGTATCACTGGTTCAGGAAGTACATTGATAATAAACAAATTAATATTACAAATCTGATTAAAAGTAGCCTTTAGGGCTGCACAATATATCGTAAATAAATCGTTATCGCGATATCAGCATGCACAATATGCATATCGCAAAGACCAGATAAATATCGCAATGAATGGTTAGCTCAAATGTTTGCTACACATAATGCATTCTGTCAATCAAACAGAAGCATGACATTTTTTTTTAAAAATCAAAGAGAGCTCTTCACCCATTTGGGTGGGTTCTCATAGGTTAGATGCCCACCCCCGAGGTGGACGGCACTTAATTTAGATGGTTAGCAAACACCTGAGTTAGCTTTGTTCTGCTCTTTCTGCTGATTCTGCTTTTTCCGGGATCCACTGATCCTTTTCTTGTTCATTTTCTTTTTCCCTTTCCTCACATCTTTTGCTTTTGTCATTTTTATGATTTATTTATTTTTTTGTTTTGGATAATTTTTATTCCTGAGTTGAGTTTTTATTTATTGCAAGTAATATCGTCATCGCAATATTAATCATTGTTATAGAATATCGCAGGTTTTCCTAATATCGTGCAGCCCTAGTAGCCTTGTTGTTCATATTTTAAAACATGTACCCTAGATGGTGCTGTATTGAGTGATTGGTGACAGACATGTTGAGGCTGGCAGGCTTGTATTTCCCTGCACAACAACTGTAGAGCAGCACCTGTAGCGATGGGAAGACAACTCATACCGCAGCTCCAGGAAACTGCAAAACCCAACCTTTGCAACCACAGAGTCATCCAGTGAGATTATTCCTTCTATCTAGGCTGTGATCATTTTACTGTCTGGTTCAAAATACATCCAAACTTCAGATATTTTCTCTCTCCTGAGCCAACACGTTAGCTCTGTTTTAGCCTACTAGCTAACAGCTTTGTTATAGAATACGAATTCCCCACCTGCTGTAAAGTGTGTGACATTATGTTGTCGTTGTCGCCCATGCAACAATGAATATTGATGTATAGAATCTTAAGGTTAAAACTAAGCAAATTTCTTTACATTTAAAAATCGTTATCTCAGGATGAATTAAAAAAGGTTTGTTATTTTATAATGTTAAATCTGATCGTTCCCACCTGATGCTGACTGTTTAAAAATCACGTGATCGGCTCAATTTACAATTATATGATCTGATCGGAGCATCCCTAAGTGTCTTTATCATATAAGTTTGTCTGCAATTTAAACTAATTTAATTATCAATTTGTTAGTTAAACAACCTCAGAAATGTTTTACATTTCTCAACTTTTCTGACATAGAAAATAAACTAAGAACGATTTGAGATGACTCAGACCATTTTGACCAGGATATTTGTTGCAGGAAACATTTAGCTGTTTTTAAATATATTTAAAAATCCAGCCATGCAAGAGCAAACAGCTCATGCAATGAAAGCTAGACATTTAGAAAACTTCCTTGTGAATGCCGTTTTATTTGTCACCAACAGCTGCAGCCCGCCTTGATATATTAAACAAACAAACAAACTAACTAACTAACTATAAAGAGAAACAGGATCGATAACCACTTGTTACAACCAAGGTATGCAGAAGAGCATCTCTGAACTAACAACAAGTTGTACCTTGAGGCAGATGGGCAACAGCAGCAGAAGACCACACCTGTCTGCTAAGAACGTGAAATTGAGGCTACAATTCACAAAGGCTCACCAAAAGTGGATAATAGAAGATTGGATACATGTTGCCTGGTCTGTTGGATCTCAATTTCTGCTGCGAGATTCGGATGGCAGGGTCAGAATTTGGTGTCAACAACATGAAAGCATGGAGTCATCCTGCCTTGTATCAACTGTTAAGGCTGGTGGTGTGATAGTATGGGGGTCATTTTCTTGGCACACTTTGGACACCTTAGTACCAACTGATCATTGTTGCAACACCACAGCCTATCTGAGTATTGTTGCTGACCACGTCCATCCCTTTATGGCCACAGTGTACCCATCTTCTGATGGCTACTTCCAGCAGGACAATGCACCATGGCATAAATCTCAAATCATCTCAGACTGGTTCCTTGAACATGACGATGAGTTCACTGTACTCAAATGGCCTCCAGTCTCAATCCAATAGATCACCTTTGGGATGTGGTGGAACGGGAGATTCACATCATGGATGTGCAGCTGACAAATCTGCAGCAACTATATGATGCTTGCTGACATTCAATATGGACTAAATTATCTGAGGAATGTTTCCAGTACCTTGCTGAATCTACGCCACAAAGGATTAAGGCAGTTCTGAAGGCAAAAAGGGGGTCCAACCTGGTACTAGCAAGGTGTACCCAATAAAGTGGCCATTGAGTGTAGATTTGAGATTTAAGTGCACTGCAGACAGAACTCAGACACACAATAACTGCAAAAGAAACAGGTGAGGATGTTACTGACTGGATGAGCCACATTGCTCTAAAGCAAGCAGCATTTTGTTTTTGCCAACAGAACCGTTTCCTTCTACTAAGACGATGATCTGTTTCTGTAATCTCTGCCTGTTTGGTGGCATGACTCTGCTACTGACGAATCACTGCTCCAAAAACTTGCTCAGACAAGTTAGACATGGTGTGACAAAGACAAATAGGAGTTTACTTACAAACCAAAAAGGTTTCCCTGTTGGGAATTTCCCCTAAATCTGAGAGTTAAACCAATACGGTTACCGTGTTCTCATTGATGCGTCTAACAATGGCAGAGAATTATATCTATTCACAATAAAGCACTTTCCCAATTTACAACAGCATTTTGGCTGCTTCGTTTATTTTAGATGGTGTGCGAGTGGGAGGCCAACATTAGCATCAACTCAAAGAAGATCCCTGAAGGATTTTTGCAGGATGTAAATAAATGAAAATAATAATAATAATAATAAAATAAAATAAAAGTCAGAATTTTAGTACGTGGTAAAAAAACAAACAAAAAAAACATAAAATCTGCCAATGCAGACAACACTGAAAACAGCAATGAGAACAATAGAAGGACCGCTATTTACACCATTGTCTGCTGGGCCACATTCTAGCTAGGACATGATGTAAGTTGTCTGCAATCTGTTGAAATTTGAGGCCCACATGTCGCGAATTGAAGAGGAGGATGAGATAAACATCATCTGTGGCATCTTTCTGTACATCCTTGGTATAAAAGAGGGCGATGAGATTCTGGGAAATGCCCCGCTGCCCTCACTGACCCCTGGGCGTGTATCCAGCTGGCTCCACCCATTAAACTGCCTTATCGCATCCCCACTTTGACGCTCAGTCCGGACTTGGCACACTTTCACACCACCTCGCTCACAGCCTGAAACTTTCTTCTGGTAAATTTGCTCCCAAAATAAAGAAATCAGCCTTTCAAATATGAAGATTAGAAGGCTTTTATTGTGGAAGGGTTTTGTTGGAAGGCCGTTATAAAATGCCACTAAAGCTTTAATCCTAATACACACACACAATCTATCTCCTCATTAACACCAGTACACACAGACTGTGTGTATTCTTTCCAACACAGCACTCCAAAGACTGCGAGGATGACTCACTGAAGCAGACGATGAAGAAAAACAATTAGCGGTTTGTCGTCTTGGTCTTGGCATTTTCTGGCTCTTATTGCATAAACGAATGTGCTGCTTGGGCCAACGGAGGTGTTAGAAAAGCCTGACTGCCACGTGTCGACCAGCAAGGACAGAGCCGTGATTGGGAGAGACTTACCGAGACGGTTGAGCTTGGCGGGTTGGTTCCATAGCCAGATGAGGGAAGGGAAGCCAGAGACCACCGACGGCCCTCAGCTCTAAGTGAAATAGACATACATGTTATATAATCCACAGCAGCATAGGCATTATTTTCCATTTTGTATTAAAATGTCATTACATAACTGACTGTTTAGAAGAGCAGATAAATGCATTTCCCCACAAATATGGACTTTTATTTCATTTAAGCATGCCTCCCTTTGGCCAAATGCTTTCAACAAATCAAACAGCAGCTTGAAAAGGACATTTCTGAGTTTTTTGGGAGAAGCAAAACACAAATAAAGGTCATTGTGTAATAACGTAAACGAGACTACCTGTCGGCACGAGCCAAGTGGCTGAGATGACGGCAGCAGGAAAGAGAAAGAGAAAAGCAAAGATGGGGATTCTGTGAGTTAGAGAATTCTTGTGCAAGTGATCCTGTGACCTCTGGCATTCATCTGAGGGATTAGTAATGACAACACGGCCTTCCTTGCCAGTTTTCATTTGTCAACATATGAGGAGTCAGATAGCAAATAAAAATTAATCTGAGGATATTTTTTATATAACGGAAAACACAGAAAGTGGGAAGTTACTAAAAGTTTCTTTAGAATGAGTTGGATATTTTCTCTGGCATCTAGTTAAAAAAAGAAAAGACAAGACAACCTTTTAAAATCCCAAATTGTAAAGATCAAACAGCGTCTATCTGATCTAATCTCTGATGTGTTTTTCACCAGGAAATGGTTCTCTGAGCAGGAGGGTTAAAGGTGAAGCACTTCATCAGTTTTTAATGACTCTTCTTGGGTTTCGTCAAGGTGCCATCTTACTTTTAGACTACACATACGCCTGAAGTGAGACAAGCCTGTTACCACGGAAACCATATTGAATGATGTGCAGGTGGGTTTCAGGGGTACCCTCAATCTGACTGCGCTCATCCTGTTGAGGGGGAGTCAGCTGTTAGAAGACCTGACAGAGGGAGGAAGGTGTGAACGCTCCAGGCTGAGTCAGCCTCACCGTGCTGCTGCTTCTCTTCCTTCTGCCTTGCAGATTGTTTGTCTTTGTTCCAGCACACACAACAAATCTTCCTGGAAACTCCCAGAGTGTGGTAATCAAGGATTACTTTGAGTCATTTTGTCTCGTCTTTTATTCAATGTTAAATTGCAAAGAAACTCACTAGTGTGAGGTCTCTACCTGTACTAAAGGCAATAGGTGTTTACTAGCTCATAGGGTTGTCACGGTGTGAAAACTTAACCTCACGGTTATTGTGACCAAAATTATCACGGTTTTCAGAATTATCACGGTATTTTTATAAACGTGTTACATTTTCAGACAACTAAATAAACCCTGTATATCAGGAAAATATTGTCCTCGGTTTGTGTTCCAGTGAGCTTTGCAGATTTGGGAAAATGTCATCAGGCAGTAATCATTGTTAAATTCATAATTATTCTCGGAGAGAGACCAACTCTTATCTGCCCCTGGGAGCCTCGTAATGCATTGCGTCATTTCAATATGGGGGTGTCCGCGACACGGTTTATATGCAGGTAGCGGCGCTGCAGCTGCTTTATCTAGAGACTCGTTGCATTCTCCCTCAACCCAAATCCTCGGATCACATATTTTAGCTGAAACACTAACGTTAACTTGCCTTGCGTTGACTGTAGAGTTGTGGGTGATTATCACGCAGATGTGTCATGAGATTTGAAGCATTGATGCCTTTCATAGACACTTTTTCCTGCATGTGCTGCAAACAGGATAGCCGGCATTCTTCAAATATCCAAAAAACACCCATACTTCCGATTTTGTCTACTTTGGGGGATAATAAATGTCCTGAGCACTGCCGTCTCCTCCTTTGGCCATTATTTCAGCTTTAGCTTCAAGAAAGTTTTGGTTGTAAACAACAAAGTGCGCATGTGCCGCCGGCAACTTCAGCAGATGATACGGTGGCTGGTAAGGGTCACGCGCCTACACCGCAGCCACGGTAATCCACCGAGATAATATATTTTTTTTAAAACAAGACGGTTATTACTGTTGTCAACTTTTTTACCGGGGTTTACCGCTACACAGGTTACCGTCACAACCCTACTAGCTCATATAAGAAACAGGAGGTTTGTCCAGTAATCGGAGGGTTGTAGGATTGATCCCGGCTCTCAGCAGGGAATGCTACTGTTGTGTCCTTGGGCAAGACACTTAACCCCTTTTTACCTGCTGGTGGTGGTCAGAGGGACCAGTGGCACCAGTATTCTGCAGCCTTGTATCCGTCAGTGTGCCCCAGGGCAGCTGTGGCTACATTGTAGCTCACCATTACCTTGTATGAATGTGTGTGTGAATGGGTTGTTGACTGATTCAATCAAAGATACTTTATTAATCCCAGAGGGAAATTAGAGTTTCAGTACACACAATTCAGAGATCAGACATACATGGGCAAGACACATGACAAGAACTGGTGACTGTGGTCATTCGCAACCCTGAGTCACGCTACCTTAATAGAGATAAGAGGGGTTTACATGAGGATTGGTTCAGGTGGAGGGAAAAAAGGCACTTCAGAGCTACCTACATAGGGAGGGCAGCTTTGCTCTGCAAAATAAAAACCCACCTCAAACATATATGCAACAGACTTCAGACATTACACAACATAAGTGTCCACTAGGTGGGGTGGTGGGTTGGGACTATCCCCACTTCAGTTCCTGCAGCCACGATAGAAGCAGCGCATGTCACCTCAGTGTGGATAGGGGGAGGAGCATTGAGGGTTGGAGGGTTGCAGTGACCCTGGAATGTTTCAGCGGCCTTCCCGCATTCCCGCCCAGGCTGGGATAGGAGATAGAGTTGAGTTGCCATAGTGACAGCACATTCCACATATCTTGTGAGGGGGGAGTTTTCTTTGGAGCCTTGCAGGCTCAAGGACGCCAGATTCCAATTAGAAATTGTTTTGGGGCCAGACAGAGATAATTTCCTCTCTGTCTTTCAGTTTGTTGGTCCTCAACCTCTCAAAATCCCAATAATGGGCATTAAACTATCCCAATCCGTGCTGATTCGTCCACGCTATCCTTGATGGCATCCATCTTTGTGCCATTGAATGTATCTCGGCCAAAGTCCCAAGCTTACGATTCATCTCGACAATTATGTGAGTCTGTGAATTCACAGCGCGGTGCAATCCATCTCTGAGATCGGGGATCAGGCCAATATTCCTCGACAGCTCGTTAATTTTCCGGTAAGCCAGGTAGCCTCCAATGCCGATCAGCAGGAAACCTGACACCAACACCACGAACATCCACACATCTTCAGAGTCCTCCACAAACAGCTGGTCTGTCCCGGAGGGGCATCCGGGAGCCCCTTCTCCCGTTCTCATCGTTAAAAAAAATTTATCAACCGCGTTGAGTGACCAACTGACGAGATCCATTTTAGTGAATTTCCGTTTCCAGAAAAAATGCAGAAGCAGCCGTGCACCCAGCACACAGAGACAGACAAAGGCCTTGAGGATAAGATATAGAGGAGAGGAGAAGAAAAGCATCTGCACCCTCCAAGAGCCGGAAGAAGAAAGAAAAAAAGAATTGTGTTGTGAAGCGCCTTGGGGGGTTGTAGAACCCTAAAAGGCACTATAAATACAGGCCATTTACCATATAAAAGCTAGCAGTTAGCGTTTTCAGACTGCAGACATCAATAAAAAGCACAAGAAGAGGACGAATTTTGCTTAATCTGTTGGCGTCATGTTGGAGCATGGAAGTAAAAGCAAGAAATAAATGTCTTTGGAGGCAAAGCAAAGACCTAAACCAGAGAGAACATCAGCATGGCCTACACTGACCTGGCCTTGTTGCTACTGGCCTAAATAATAACACTTTTTGTCCAACAATGTGGATCTTTTTACTTTGAAGCTTATTATCAGTTGTTTGGTGTTAGCATTAGCTCATTGTTAGCTCTAGCTACAGCCGGCTGCAGGAGTGTTGTTTACAAAAGTTGCAATTCTGCTCTTAACCAGTAGGAGGGAGAGGCAGAAAACATATTTAGTGTTGCTTTAACCACGGAGCTTAACAAGTCCCAAAAGCTTGTCTGATCAAAATAGAACTTTCGTGGTGCGGCAAGGCACTTCCGGTACGCACCTGAAAAGTTCTGCACAACGTCCCGTCTGAATCAAACCATAGACTATAATGGCTTCTATCTGCCACTGAGACATGCTGCTGTGGCTATAACGCACCACAGACAACTCCGGTGTGAATAAAAGTTAACTGTATTTCAACATGTATGAAAAACTAATTAAGTTGACTAGTTCTTAAATTTTACTCCAAGATGGTTAACTTGATTTAGTTTTAGCAATAAGCAATTACCGTAATTTCCGGCCTACAAGCCGCTATTTTTTCCCTGTGCTTTGAAGCCTGTGGCCAATATCATGGTGCGGCTTATGTGTAGATTTTTGTTGGCCAACAACCACTAGAGGCACTCTCCAGCAGTAAAGTGAGACAGGCACGGCAAAACGTTATGTGCGGAAGAAGGTGCTCTTTGATTTAAAGCAGCATGTTTACACATCAGACACACCCTCGTCATGGAAAACACGCGGAGGAATGCATATGCTGCAGCTTTCAAGTTAAAAGCGATCGATCTGGCCATCAAACAAGGAAACAGAGCCACTGCACAGGAGCTTGGCATAAATGAATTAATGGTGCGACGTTGGAGGCGGCAGCGGGAAGAACTCAGTCAATGTAAAAAAACGACAAACGCTTTCAGAGGAAATAAAAGCAGATGGCCGGAATTGGAAAACATTCTTGAAGACTGGGTGAACACACAAAGGGCAAACGGCCGAGGTGTTTCCACTGTTTCCACTTGCAGATCATTACTAACCAGGCATGTTTTGTGTGCAGTTTTTATTTTCTAATCATCCGGGGCTTACTAATGCTGTGTCAGCGCTGTTCTTTTCTTCTAAACATGCATGCAAATTACCGGTAATAACGTGTCAGTGCTGTTTTTATTTTATAACCATCCAGAAATATGAATGCTATCAGTGCTGTTTTCTTGTTTTCACGTTCACCCGTGTTTAAAATTTGTTTTGTTGAATTAAAACAACAACGAAAAACCTCCGTGTAGCGTCTTTCTGTCTAATTATCTTATGTTATGGCCATACATGTGCTGTGCGCCGGAGACCTGCATGTGGCTGCTGCGCAGCGGCTTGTATTTCAGTGCGGCGTGTGTGTGTGTAGAAAACCTTTTTTTTTTTGCTGGTGCGGCTTATATTGAGGTGCGCTCTATAGTCCGGAAATTACGGTAGTTATTTGCAGATATGTAAAATAGTGAATCCCATTTATGTTACAGGGAATAATTTAACCCATCAAATTCAACATTCAAGAACTTTCAGATGCAAAATTTTACCAGTCGATGGGTAAAAAGGCTTCACACACTCACCTTCGGGCAAATGGAAAGTTGAGGCAGGCACTGGTTGACACATTTCTAGGGCTGTCCAGAGGGCTGCTCACAGCTGAGGGAGGAAAGGCAGCATGTTCAGCAGTACACTTCACCACGTTGTTAATGAACCGATGAAAACACAACAAAAGACTGAGCTCACTGAAGGACATTTTCCAAACGGTATGACATCATGTTTATATAGGAGCCTTCAATCAGTGACACATTAGCCTGGACCTCAGAGAAGTCCAGCGTGTTTTCTTAGTGTTACTTTTGAAAACACAACACCACCGATCCAAACACACATTTAGCTCACAGGAAAGCCTCATCTGGCTGTGTCTGGGCTCCAGAGATCTGGGTACACTAGAGACCGAGATTGTTTACATACAAGTGACTGAGTATCCAATTAGACCTTGATTTTACTCTGCGATTAGATAATCCTTTGCATGATTGGGTTCAAAAGGGAGCACATCTACATTCTGTAGCTATTAAGGACTCTTGAGCAAAAGACTTTTCATGGATCCCAGCTGTTTGGTAGATCTAATGGCCTGCAGACTGTGGGCAGCACTGTTTTAAAAAGCAGCAGGATGAGACGCTGACCATTTACAAATCTCCTGCTCCTTCATTACTTTGCAGTGCAAATTTCTCAAATTGCTCTCATTTCTTTGTAATTTGCTCCACAGCAAGCAGATGTTGCCATTTTTAAAGTGCTCTTTAACATCAGTGAAACGGTTTCATGCATGTATTCAAGAAGTTTTACTGTAGACAGTGCGCCCCAGGGCAGCTGTGGCTACATTGTAGCTCATCCCCACCAGTGTGTGAATGTGTGTGTGTGAATGGGTGAATGACTGATTGCGTTGTAAAGCGCCTTGGGGGGTTCCAGGACTCTAGAAGGCGCTATATCAAATACAGGCCATTTATCATTGGCTATTTTTGTCTCTAATTGAAGTTCAGTGCTTGTAATTGTCTATGTAAATGAGCCCTTTAAAAGACTGCAAGAAAATCTAGAAGATATAAATCAATTAAGGGGTGGCTCTAGGAAACTTCAGCAGTATTAGCTCTGCTGCAGGTAAAACGGAAGCATCAAAGCGTTGATGTTGATGCAGCATGATGAGAACATGTTAAGAAATCCAACCCTTGGTCTTATCCTAATTTCCTGCTCTGAAGCTAATTTTCCCATCAGCAGCTCTGTTACAGCGTGAGAATGTCTGGATTAGATTAACACATCTGTGCAGCTCATTTCCTTTATATTATTTTTCCTTCATTCCACCCTGATTTGTCCAATTCCATATAATCAGCAGCACATAATTCTGCATGGAAGTAATTAGATACTCTTAAGGCCAGTTTCATATTGTGAATTTGAATTGTTGAACTCCTTTAGGCCTAAATTGTACAGATGTATGCAAAAGCAAAGATGCATTTCTGGGATTTAAACATATGTTGAATCCCATCTTTCCACCGGAGCCTTCAGCAGCACGTTACTGCAGCAGCACGTCTTGCTCGCGTAAGCTGCTGCTTGGCCCTTCCCACGAGACGCATAGCAGCAGGGGAGCAGCTGTCACCGACAGAGCACGAAGTCACACGAGTGACTTCGTCAGTAAACACAACAACAAGCAGGAGAAAACTACAACATGGCTCCAAAAGGTTTGTGTTTTATGTTCTGTCCGTTTTATAATCGCCAATACGGACCTGAAAAATAAAGGAGACCGCTAGCTAGGTGATAACTTCTCACGGGGCCGCACAGTTAGTAACTTTTTTTTAAAGTAAAGCAACCGGAAGGCAGTGCGTTTCTTTATTCTGAAAATCTCGGGAGCTTCGCTCCGTTTCCGTGTCCGATTTCCTGTCTTTCCTTCCCCAAAAATGTCAAACTTGACCCGTTTCAGAGGCGTCGCGCGTAGAAAATAGAACCGACGCGTAAGGGCCGCGACATGCTGCTTCAGAGACGCGGCCGACTCGCGCTGCTGACGGCTCCGGTGGAAAAGGTTCTGTTGACCACAGCGGTTCCTATCAGCAGCTATGACGTGCTGCTGCAGTAACGTGCTGAAAGAAGGGGTTACCCGTGTTGAGTGAGAGGGGGGAGAGTGGCCGGGACAGGGTGGGTGAGGGCGTCCCGACTCCGAGGTTCTTCCTGTTGCTGCTGCGACAGCTGAAACACAAGCAAGAAAAAGGAGAAGTTTATAGCCTGCAGTCTTCGACTCACATCCTTCGACTCTATTCAGCTTGTAGGAAAATGATTCGGTGTCGGTTTGCATACGGAGAGGCTGAAACTGCATAAAGGGTAGAGTCCCACATGCAAGAGAAATGCATACAAAAACAGCAAATTCACCGTGGCCCTCATTGTATTCACCTATAATTACATTTGACTTAAGAGGTGCTTCAGGTGTGTGTGTGTGTGTGTGTGTGTGTGTGTGTGTGTGTGTGTGACAATGTAGCAGTGGGCAGATTAAAAGACACTTGACCTCTAAAGAAGTGGTCTATTATCCTCTAAGCTCACACTGCTGTGAAACGCTGAAGGATATGAAAACACATCTGTTTAGTGTGTAAACTGGGAGTACTGGAAACAGGCTGGGATTTCACCTGAATATACAAATTCAAATACTCAAATCAAAATCTCATTAAAGCTGCATTTTGGTTTTAAAGATTAACTTTACTGATCATTTTAATACCTTTGTGGTCTCTAGTAGGAATGAATGCCCTGTAAGTTGTCCTCGGGGGGGGGGGGGGGGGGGGGGGGGGGGGGGTCAGCTCAGTTGAGCTTCAAACAGCAGGATTTGGAGTCGTATTTCCTGATATTTGGACATCTTGCTTTGGAATGGCTAAGCAACTTGACTCTACCACTGACTCAGTTTGCTTTGCAACGTTGACGTTTCAGTTCTGCTGTGTGGTGGAGCTGCTAATGCTAACGGTTAGCTTCTACTAGCCGAGACATTCTCTGCTGTTTACTGGACTCTAAAACAAAAACAGCCTTTCCTGCCGTGAGACGAGGTGAGTGAGTCCATGAATACTAAGTGACAGTGTGACATACATCTGTCAGGCTTTATTGAACCAAGTGTTTTTTCATCTGTTTCCTATCAGAAGCTAACGCAGGAGATAGGTGTAAGAGACTAGGTGTGGACAACCTGATTAATACATTTGCAATGGTCTCTACGAGGAATGAATGCCTTTTAAGTTGTACTCTGGAGAAACAAAGAACTGGTGCACCATTTACAGGATCTAGAAGTGAGCCACATCAGAGGAGAATTTTAGACGACACGATTTGGAGTCTTATTTCCTTACATCTGGACATATCACCTCTGATTGGCCAACAGCAACGCGACTCTACCACTGACTCTGCTCTGCAACGTTTTTGTTTTATCTCCACAAATAACTCAAGCCTGAGGGAGTTCTGCCGTGTGGTGGAGTTGGCTAATGCTAATGGTTAGCTTCTACTAGCCAAGACGTTCTCTGTTGATTCCTGGATGTTAAACCAACAACAGCCTTCCCTGTCATGAGCCATGATGGGTGAGTCCATGAATGTTAAGTGAAAGAGTGACGTAGATCTGCCAAGATCTTCAAATCCTAGAGTTTTACCGTCTTTTTTCTATCAGAAGTCAATGCAGCAGATAAGCCTCTCCATCGGGACAGATACACGCAACGCCATTATGCATCGACGCAAAAGCCCTTGACGGGCTTGAGGAGGAAGATGGAGACATGCCCCAAATTTTAACTATCTGTCGAAAGAGATGGAGACCGCAAGCTTGTGATTGGTCAGGACGCTACTTCCTGTTTTCTTTGGTCAACAGCACCGTCTTTGCCGCTTCAAAAAAATAAAGAGAAACAGAACAGATTGAAGAACGCATTGCAGAAAAAAGTCTGAAAGTATGAATGTTTATTCACCCCTAACTAAAGGAGTACAGAGATATGCAGCAAGCGTTTTATTCATGGACAGAAAAGACAAGAAATGTGACTTTAGAGGTGACGATCGCATGAAGAGGTGTAGGGGAATGAGGGACAAATTTGTCTGTGTTAAAAAGTTTCTGAAATACATTAAAACAATGTAAACACAATAGTAAATACACTATTGTGGACCGAATATGTGACTGTAATGGTGGCAGGACACCTCAGAATAGCGCTACGCCCTCTGTTGTCCTGGCGGGGACACTCCCCAGCTGACGGAGAAGTCCGAAAGCAAAACGTCTCTGTCAATGCGTGCGAGTCGCTCCCTCGCGGAGCTGACAGAGAAGTATAAATTAGGCTATAAGTGTAGGAGACTATTTTTGTTTGGCCTGCTTGAAAAATTCGATTATAGTGATCGATTATAATCAGAAAGAAGATTTTAAAAATGTTTAGTTTTCCACACCTTGAACAATTTGTCTCTTCACATCACCAGCTCACCTAACAAGCTCTGGCTTCTGTTTGTAGTCTGACTTTTCTCATTTTAGTGGTAGTAACAGTTCATTTAATGCATTGCACACAGGAGCTGGATTTTTAGTTTTGTTCTAACATTACAGGAAGTGATCAATGTAGATGAAAAAAAGACAGCAAAAAAATAAATATCATCTAAATCTTCAACACCAATGCAGTCTCACAGACTCGACCACACCAAGAGAAATGCTTTTTCCTTATGCTCACCAAAAGAATGTGCTTTATGGTCTACTACAGGCGAGAGTTGCATGAGAAACTGCAATTTCTTTGCCTCTGCCCACTGAGATTTAACTTAACTTGTGAGATTATTTCCACCTTAAGAGCAGCTCTGCCTTGAGAAAAAGGTTATGTAACGACAACTCTAAAGCTGGAGACAAATGCAGAAAACAGCGTGGCCACATCATATGAGTAGGGAAAACCGATGTGAGCCAAAATGCAAAATAAATAAATAACAAAAATAAAACCTGCTGTCAACAGACTGGAGGCTAAAGGGGATGTGTGTGAGCTGTCAGCAACAGCAGGCTCAATCAGAACCACAGATGTCCAGAACTGCATGTTTTATTAGCTTTGTGTGTGTGTGTGTGTGTGTGTGTGTGTGTGTGTGTGTGTGTTGCTTCTGAAAACACAAGTTGAATATTTTATGGTGTTCTTGTGTTCGGTGAAAGTGGAAAAGCCAGTTTAAGCCACAACCCAGAATATGGTGTCATATTTAAGGTTTTTAGACACATACACGCATGAGATCATCTCCTGGACACAAGTAATCCTGTTTGACGGCTTGCAATCAAGTTGTATCTCCTGCTGTTTACCAGTAAACACCACAAACTCTGTAAAAGTCAACAAGCAGCCCCCATGTTACCAATAATGTACAAATCTGCTACACTTTGAATGAAATCCAAGCTATTTCCATTTTCCTTCTACAAACCACATCTTTTTTCCTGCAGGTGAGCACACCAAACAGCATGCTATGTGATGCTCATTCTCTGAGAACATAGAAATGCTTTTCTTTGTTTACAGCTGTGATGCCAGATAGTGGTTCTTTAACGCCAACATCAACAAGCATTAACGAACCTTCAGAGAACAGGGAGCTAGCTTGTGCTGGGACTGTTATAACACCCAAAACAACACTAAATAAGTCGTATGTAGGTCTGTAAAGACCAAATGAAACCATTAAAATATTTATTCCGATGTTACAATACAACACAATGATATATTAAGGCTTCTAAAACAGTTTTAGTGTCTATGCGCTAACTCTGTAAGTTACCTTTTCGAGCGTTTTAGCAAAGCCACGGGAACAAAACGGGACTTGTTCTGGTTCGGCACCGCAGACCAGTGGCTCGGATCCGACATAATGCTGGAGGATTGTCTTTCATACACCTCTTATCAAGGTGAGGATGTGTATTTCATAGAACTAAAGCGCGTCTGGATGTGAAACACGCTCCTTCGCGTCCTCTTGCTGCTGTCCCCAACATCGTATCCTCTTCTCGGCGGTTTCTTTTGTATTCACGCCGCCGCTGTCTGTCTTTGTGCCGTAGTCTTAACGGCTGACCGCTGCCGTTCACATCACCCGGTTCACCGTTTCACAAGAGCCGAGTCCCCGGAAAACCACCTCCATGTCGGGTTCCCCAGGTGTGTGTTACCGCTCTCTCAGCCACACGCCGTAGTTTAGGACTCAAACCGTCGCTGGCGGCTGGCTGCGTGGTGAGAGGAAGCTGGAGCCTAATGCTGCATTCAGGTGCTGCTCGTTATTCTCACTACATAGTGCTGAAAGCGCCTACTGTACTGTTGACAAACATCCAAAGTAGGACCTAACAACACATTTCCACTCTACAATACTAACATAGACAAAGTAACGAATACCCGCGTTTGAAAAAGTAAAAGCATTTTTTAAATATTTTTATTAAATTTAAAGACTTACTTGACAAAGTTCTACAAATTCTTAAAATTGCAAATATATCAGAAAGTTCTTTCTTGCACCAAATAATAAGTATATAATTTTGTTTTTGATTAAATTCTTAATATCAATCAAATAGGCTAAATGTCAAATATACTAATTTGTTGCTTTAATAGTTTAGAATTTCAGCTAGCTATTGTTTCAGTTATAAGTCTGAATGCAATGTAGTCTATTCATTGAACATTAATGTGGCAAAAGTGTTCTCACACTAACTGACAATCTATTCATAGACAACAAAAAACAGAGGAAGGAGATGATAAGTGTAATTTTAGGACACCTTGCAGATGACCTTTAAAGTCTGGTTAAAAGAGCTGAATAAAATTAATAAATTCATGATCTACGCAGCTAGAAGAAAAGTTACAATAGCATTTGTGGCCAAGTGGAATTGTCATAAACACTTGTGTTAATCTCAAATTCACATTGAAGTGGTAATTTCCTACAGGTCATGAAAGCATCTTCAAATGCGGATGATACCATCAGGGAGGTTCCAGTAGAACTTTTTATCAGTGGTACATCCCAGTTTTTAGCAATTCTATTATAAATGGTTATTCGTGGTCATCTTTATATCTTATTTTGGATTTGTGGAATTGAAACAATACATATTTGCACATTTAAAACAGATTAAAAAAGCAATTTTTTGGTTAAACTTACATAAACGGTGTGCTCTGTCATTACTTTTTGTAAAACTTTATGTTTGTTGCAGTTTATATAAATTTCACTTTGATTTGAGAAACTAAAAACATGGCAAATATTTTATGTCTTTGGACCTAAAAGAATTTGAATCTTTTTGCAAATGTCACTACGTTTTTGACCCTAGCTCAAGTGCTCAGAAATATGTTGTGGAGGTATATCCTCTTGAGAAATCTCTTCTATAAAATAATTTTCAATACTGCTTTTATATGGGAAATAAATTGTACAGCAGGTATCAGCTGTCACGATTTTAACAAAACAATCTGTTACACCTGCATTGCCAAACCCAACCGCTGCTGCATACCCAGTGCACAAGAACCAAAGGTTGATGTAGCAATTTATTTGCATCCAAATATAGAAACTGATGCAAGAAAAAAAGTTTCTGGATGGTGAAATAACATAGAGGGTGGGGCAGGCAGTGTCTCCAGTGCAAAATAGTGTGAATGAAGAACAAACACTACCAGCCACAGTGTTGCAAGGCTGCAATAAAAAATAACTAATATTTTTGCAGTTGCAGTAAAATCTGCTCTTTCCCCTGCAGAACAAATGAGATTCATTAGTGTACAGTGCGTAATGTGACAGCCAAGCTCTGCTCACACATCCAGAAACATGCTGGATGCAGCCACCTCTGTTTGCAGTGTTGCCTGCCTCCACGGAACCCAGAAGTGTTGCCAAGCAACCCACATAGGGACAACTGATAGGTCGAAACAAAAGCACCTCAACATAATAAAGATATTAAAAACAACTGCTTTTATGATATTTTCCCCCAGTTATTAACATTTTATGTCACATGGTATAATCCATAGAAGGTAAAGAATGCACTTAACTTTGCACCAGTAAAATTGTGTTTTACTTTCAAGGCTGGCAAGAATCAATGAAATCTTTAAATGATTCACCCTCTTTCTGGGGACGGAAATCTTTATTGATCAAAAATTTTCACCAAGACTTAGAAATGCATGTGCATATCTTGAAAGTGCAAGTCTTAGCAAGCTGGCCAGTGTGTTCGCAGAGACAGTACCTGTTGGAATAGAATTAGTTTCCTCTTTCTGAAAACACAAAGCATGTTTGAGAGTTTTCACGTGTCCTGGATGTCTTACCTCCAGGGATGAAGGGTTTGTAAGGGACTGCAGGGACTGCAGGGGCTGCATGGGCTCAGGAGGGTTGGGCTCTGGAGAGTGGGGGATAAACTGCAAGGCAAGACATGGTCACATGGATTAGTGTCTTATATGTCTTCTATAAGCTATGTTTGGTGGCTGCTACTTTCTGGCTGACATCTCCAGCGGATGGAGACAGATTCGCACAGCTATTGTGAGTTTGCTGGATGCATCAGATGCAAATGATTTGCTTCTTTCATTCTTGTGAGTTCAAAAAAATGCCATATCAACACACTCTAAGGAAAATGCCATCACTGTGCAGCTGTAAACAGTGCTGGCGACGCTTGAAATGCAAAATGGTGCATGGGCAAATTGGGCTGCATGGTGACGCAGTGGTTAGCACTGTTGCCTCGCAGCACAAAGGTTGCAGGTTCGAAGCTCGGCTGCGGCCTTTCTGCTTGGAGTTGCGTGTTCTCCCCATGCATGCGTGGGTTTCCTCCGGGTACTCCGGTTTCCCCCACAAATCACAACATGCCCTATAGGTTATAAATTGTAAGTCGCTTTGGATAGAAGTGTCTCCTAAATGAATAAACATAAACATAAACAAAATGCATAAAGGTTTATTTCGGGGAATAAATCAAGCCAGTCTTTTGGATCGCAATGAGGAACACAGTTTGTGCTCTTGTGAAACCAACACACAAAATCCATAATTTACATCCCCTACGCTTTATGCCTTAATGCACCATTTTGCATGAAAAAGTGCACGCTCAGCTCGTTCGCTGAACTGCCCTGGAGCCTAAATCACACCGATGCTGACCTAGCTCTTTTCTATTGATTCTCTGCTCAGATCTAAGTTCTGCTGTCTGGGCTCCATAAAGCTGCCATTGTCTCTGTGTTGCCTGCAGGAGCTTCTCAGGGCTAAACACAGCGCTAATGAACGTGTTGTCATAGTAATGCAGGAAGGATGGAAGGGAAAAACAACTCTTTGTACAAAGACTCCCCGTTCTGTAGTGACAGCTCATAACTACGCAACAGATGCCCGTCATTTGATTCATTTTGACACAACTTCTGCTTCTAGTGATTGATGAGTTTGTGTCCCATTATTTTCACATTTTATTCTTATTTTATATGCTTTCCTGTTTTAATCAGCTCAGACTGACTCGTTGGTGGAATGTTCAGGGACACAAAGAAGGCTGCAAATGGGAAATTAGACAAATTTGTTTCAAAGCAAATATTTTCTCCCTTCTGTTGTTTATCAGGCTGTCAAAAAACCCCAAAATATCTCTTGATTGTGCAAAGATTCTTACTTTCTAAATGCGAGGAAGGAGTTTTTGGTTTTAAGTGAAGAACATGTCCCACAAGGCTCTGATATCAGTAATAAAAACAAGTTTTATGACTTTCTTATTATGTTTTATTGTAATCTTTTGGTTCATTGATGCAGCCATCCAGCTGTCATTCAAACCCTGAACCCCTCCCTCCACGCTGAGTGTGAAAACCTCCTCTGTGCCTCAGCTCTGCACAGGAACAGATGCTATAGAGCCTAAAAATGAAAATGACATGAAAATAGCGCATGCTCAACCGAAGGAGTCCACGCAGGAAGCAGATGGATGATCAGAGAATAGCAATGTGAGCAAGAAGCTCCTACGCCATGTGGATAAGCATTTTGTGGGCATCACATATAACCTCTCCACTCTCTCACTAAATAAAGAAAATCTGCATGTTAGCTTCGTAGGAGAAGTGGGTGGACGTAACACCACACACTTGACGTGTAATTTGATGAGTACAAAAATCATGGCTAATAATGAGAAAATGACATATCTGTCTTTCTCAAGTCTGAGCTCCATAGTGAGGTTGTGAATTGAATTATCTGAGTGTGAATTTCACACTCAGATAAGCTGCAACCCAAAAGCTTCACTCTTGAATTAGTGAGAAATAAACTGCTTTTCATGCAGAAGAACTGGAGGATTTTCTGTTTCACCAAAACGTTGGATAACAGGTTGATCCTTGAGTGCTGAGCTGTGCAAACACAGCTTCAGTTAAAGGTTGAGAGCTTGATTTCTACACCAGCTTAAACATCGAGGGGGGAGAAATGAAGACTTTTAACCCAAATTTCACAAGAATGCCAAGAATTAATGCCCAGAGATCAGAAACGCCGTCTTCAATGAGGACTTTGTAGCTGATCACTAACAAAGCATAGAAACCAATAATCAAACTGATGGAATAACAGGTTTAAACTTTGGTCACTTCAGATTCAAAAAAGTATTGATGGTTCCCTCAGAATAACAACCATCTCCCTCCTGGTGCAACTTTGAAACACACCATGAATGAATGAATAAATAAACAGCAGAACTTACTCTAAAGTCAGAGAAGGGATCTTCAATTTATCTCGCCTGGACTTCATTCTGGAACACCAGTCAGGAGCTTCACGGCGCCGCGCTGCTCGGGTTTCCGGCGGGTTGCCAGTCGCTCATCGCCGCTGTAGGGGACTGAAAATATGTACCGGAGTATCGTTTATCAACAAGCGTCGGCGGATTCCGGAGAGACTTTTCGTGGAAACGGAAACACAACGGAGCGCATAACATTTAAAAACAAGTGGAGCCTCCTCGATGGTCAGCTTTTACGCGTTTGGGTTTTTTGTCCGTGTATAAACCTCAGCTGATAGCATAGACAGAGGGAAGCACGGGTCGCTTCTAACCTCCGTGTGACTGGTGGGAAGGGAGGGATGGGGGAGGAATGGGGGGAGTCTAGCAGCGCGCGCGGGGGGGGGTCGATCTGAGCAGCGAGATAGAAGTGTATAATAATAATGTTGTTGTTTTAGCCAAATCAACACAAATACTTTCATATTTCATCTGTAGACCAGGATTCAGGTTCTTGTCTGCGTAAAACTGGAATTAAAAACGAAAAATAGAATAAAAGTTTCACCTTTTTACGCCCAGACAAAGCTGTGTATAGAATTCAAAGCAAACATCAGAGTCGTGTCACACCAGCGAGAGCAGGGGAATACCTCCGCTCCTCTCCAAACCGTGGCAAATGCGCTCATCTCCTCGCTCCTCTGCTCGTGCTCGAGAGCGCGCGCCAGTTTGGAAACAATCCGCTAGTTTTTGATCGCTCTGCGGGAATAAATAAGCTACATAACTGTCCGTTTGTTCAAGTATTGGAAATTAAGGCGATGCGCGCACGTGGACATGGAGACAGTCTCTCACTTTTTGCGCCTGTGCGCACGTGCGGACTGAAGGGCTTTGCACGTTTACATCACCATGCTTAAGCATGTGCATGTAGGTGTGTGACTGTAATGAGCCCGTGTGGATGCGCGTCTGAAGATGCGCATAGTGATAAAATCCGCATGTGTTTACGCGCACGCGCGTGATATCCTGTGAACTTGAAAGTGAAGTGTAACATCTATCGTGTGCGCTGCGTGACAACAAAGTAATTGACACTATCCGCACCCCCACTTGGTTTCCTAGGAAGGAGGAAATGACACCTGTGCCCTGGTTGCTAGGCAATGGGACTGGCACAGCATCAATGACCAACCAGTTCATAATTCTATTGCACGTGCGCGCGCACGCAAACACACACACACACACACACACACACACACACACACACACACACACACACACACACACACACACACACACACACACACACACACACTTCATTAAGAATTTCTGTGAAAATAAGAAAACCGAGTGCGGAATGCCGCCCTCTCCCTTTCTATCACAATTTTAAACTACAGCAACATGTTTTAAAAATAAGAGTTACATCCTTCATTGGTAAATTTTCGAAAATGAAAGCAATCCCTTGCAATACTTTAAAGGGGCATTATGGAAGTTTGACAGCCAAAACATGTATAGAAATAATACATTCTTAATACATTCTCCTGCAATGCCCTGGTCCAATGAGCCCTGGCATTTTTACTGTGATTGCCTGTTTTTCTGTAAAATCACAGAAAAAGAGAGCTGCTCAGGTCAGCAGGCTGCGCGTTCACGCTCAGGCATAGGTCTCCAAACCGTTACAGGAGACATCACTGGTGGTTTAGCTCACCTAGTAAAACTTTGGGCTTTTGTGTGGAAGACCAAGGTTCAATTTTGGATGTGATCATAGTTGTTTTAGAGGTTTTTTTTTACGTTAATGATATATTTTTTTACAGTAAGATGCCCAAATTTTTATTTGAGGCTTGCTGAACGGCATTGAATTCACAGATAAAAAAGATGTGGGTTCAACTTTCATTTTGGAACAATTTTTGAAGCAAGGGAAGGGAATGATCTGAGCATGCAGGAGGACTGACCCATCATAAACCTTTGTCGGCTGTGCTGAAGAGAAAGGTACAGAACCAAATTATTTAATTAATTAGCTGCACGTTCTCCTGTCCTCTGTCCTCCGGGCCACACACACACACACACACACACACACACACACACACACACACACACACACACACACACACACACACACACACACACACACACACACAAACGACTTCTGTATTTCATTCTAGTGCTTCGGTATTTCCACCTGAGTGTGTGCTGGCTGGTGCACAACAGACGTCTGAAGACAACACCACAAATGGGTCTCTGAGCGAGAGGAGAGTCAGGGGGCCGCCCTCCAACCAGGATTATGGAAATTTCACACCCCAAAAGCCCTCACCCCATGATCGAGCAGTGTGGCCCTGTCGTTTAAATAAATTATCATTATCTTCCATTGGACAGCTCTGTTTGTGACTGTTTGTTTGGTATGTGGTGGAATCCCATTCCCCAAATGCTTATAAGCTGTTTTGTTAAAGCGGCATTTAATAACAGAGTTGGTTTCTCAGTTGCCATGGCGATAAGGGCTTTCCTGCTCTTCCCTTCCCTCCAGTTTGTGTTCTTCCTCCCACCTCTGCTGTGTGAGATAAAGCTCAGCGAAAGCCTTAACGAACACCCCTCAGCAAATGGCAGCCGAGTCAGATACTAAACATTACATCATGCTTTGTTTTGTCTGCTCTGTTAAGCCAAATCAGGGTTGACGTGTTTTTATCTGAAGATTTAAAGAACACGTATGATTAAGAAGCATGAGCTACTAATGACATTGTTTTCATTCCATTTGTGGCGTAAAACAGCAAAAGCATAATTTTTAACACTAAATGTTAAGCTGTTTCAACTACTATTGCATGTTTTTTGGGTCTCATTTATGTCCAGAATCTCATCCCCTGACATTTAAAGCTTCAGCACGCAGAATAACACACAGAAAAAGCTTAAAAACATGAGGTGAGGCATGCTTTCAGTTGGTGCTGCAGCATAGGCAGCAGGGAGAGGAGCAACGTGGGTGAGAGCTTAAATGACACCGACACAGCAGACAAATAAAGCAAGGCAGAGCTGGTTAACAGCATTCAAACAGTTAAGAATAATCAAAAGATAACAATAACTCTGGCTAATAAGTCAAATTTAAATAGAATGAATATACACACACACACAGCTTTCCACCAGCCATAATGGATTTGCCACTTTCTTTGTTTTCTGCCACAAAAGAAACGTCTCAGCAAGTGCAAATTGGATCTTGTTGCAAGGCACATAGTATTTGCTTTGTGTACGAAAATCTGCATTTTTGACATTCTGTTAAGCGATAAAACACAAATGCACAATGGAAAGTATTTTTACACATTTCAAGCAAAGCATTTACAGTAACAAATGTTGAGATGCTTGAAGGTTGCAGATGTCATGTAAAATGCAGTAACACCCTCTAAACTGGAGAATATGGGGCAAAATTAAATGAATGCAAATTAAAATGCCTGGCGACATCAACAGTAAAAACAAGGATGTTAAGCGTGCACGAGGAAACAATTTAAGCTGCTGTGGGCAATGCAACATCACAGAGGAAGTATGTTAATATGCGTGAGAGCTTCTGCAAGTGTGAGAGACAGAGAGGGGAAAAAAGGGGGGAGGCGTGCTGATCAAGTGTCACAACATTATCACGGTTAAAGTCATCCCACAAGGTGGCGTAGAAATGCAATGATGAGACTAGAGAATCTACAACTGCACTTTAAGCTTGATCTAGTTACAAATGTACAGAAGTGGAACATACTTCAGTTAGATAAGCAGCAGCAGTTCAAGCGCTTATTGCAATTCAGGGATGTAGAAATCAGAGGCTCAGATCCGTGGCTGGAAGTGTCTAAATAACAATATGAACAGTAAAATTTATACGACGTTCATCGCTTAACATCTGGAACATCAGTGTGGCTGTTCCCATAGCAACAAGGGGCATAATGTTAAGGCATGATCATTGGTTCTGTGTCCAAATCACCAGATTAAATAAAAACTATGTCTCCACTGATTTACTTAGAGTTTAAGCTAAAAATATGTCATTCACGGGCACTGTCATGTTGTCTGTGTAGCAAGTAACTCAAAACACACACAAAAGCATGTGCACACACACACACACACACACACACACACACACACACACACACACACACACACACACACACACACACACACACACACACACACACACACACACACACACACACACACACACACACACACACACACACACAAACACACATATTTAAAGACAGCCACACACATCAGACAATTGGAGTTTGTGAAGGTACAGCAGCAAGGTTAGAGCTACACAAAAAAAGTAACATCAGTGTCTGGAAAGAATAATGGAGTGTATTTCAAAAATCTTTTACACAAGTCTGGGAAATTAAACCAGTACTGCATCCTGCCACTGGGGGGCTCTCTGGTCCTTTATGGTATCAACATGTTTCTATGTTTAGTTCTTCTGTATCTAGGGTCCATTTGTATGACACCAGGAGGACCGTGGAACTGCACCCCAACATTCAACTCATGAGTTTACAGTTTCACATTCCAGCCCAGGTGGTTGTTCCTAAACTGTCCTTTCAAAATAAAAGATCTTTGAGCTGGTTATGATTGGAAAGAGTTGCACCAATATTGTGCCAAAATACCCAAACACTGTTTTGCTTATTCTGCTCATTGTCTTTGGTATGCTGTGTAAGCTTTTGAATGGGGTGGGGTTAGGGTTATGCATTTTAGAGTCTGACCAGCAGCCAAAATGGCCAAAACCCCTCCAGAGGTTAGATAAACAAATCTGCAGAGGACAAACACAGAAGAAAGACTGAACGTTCTTGCCTTTGAATTGCTGAATATTCTGCTGAGAAGACCACCAATGTGGTGAAGACGAAACCAAACATCCAACCGATAACTCCCCCCATTCTGCTGACACTGATTTATCTTCAAAGCCCCCAACGTCCTGTGTTGTGGTTAAAGTGTTGCCAAATGTGAAATATACAGTAGGTCGCAGAATTTTTACAAATTTTTACACATGTATTCAAAAATGATACAATTTTCACCAGAGAAAACCTGTTTTTA